TTGTTGATCACCTTGTATTTTGTTTTTACATTATGTATTATGTCCATCCTTTTGATCTGACTGACTCTGTTCTGTTATGTCACATTTGGTTTTACTCTCTTCCAAAAAAAAGTAAAAAGAACTGTGGGAGTAATAAAACCCAAAATGTGTAATTGTCATTGTACAAAAGAGAGGAAAAGAAAGTGCTCTAAAGAACATAACTGCATGTCCTTAAGCATATAAGATAGATGACCATATTACTGAGTTTTGTTGGATCATTGAATAGAAGAACTGTTTGCAGTCTCACTGTTTGAAAGTCCACTTTATATGCTTTAAATTTGTAACTTGAACAACTATTTCTAAGATGACAATATGTAATCCATTAACTAGTGATTTCCTACTGTTTATTTTTTCTGAAATTCTGTATAACTTGTACCCTTTTTCTGTTGTTTTCCTTTTTCTCCTTAAGTAAAATTTTAAAAAAAGCTACATGACCTAAACACAATGATACAAAATATGAATAACAATTTACCAAAGAACTAGAATCCATGAAAAGGCTTTAAACAGAAATCCAAGAGATTAAAATTAATACCTTTCAGTACTGGCATATGGGCAGCAGAATTGGCCAACATGAGGACAGAATTTCAGAACTAGGAAATAATGATGCCTTCAAAGACTAAGCACACAAAACACCTTAAAAACAAGAGAATATGAAAAATGGATCCAACAGTTGCTAGATGACACAAAAATGACTAATTGGATTAAGTGAAAAATCAGAAAACAACACAAATGGCATACAAAAGATCTGTTCACAAAATAATGGCAGAAAGTTCCCCAAATACATAGATAGAAATAAACAGATAATTGAAGCATATATAACCCCAAATATCCATGATAGGATTCTCTTTATGCTCCATTTTACTCAAAGTACCAACTAAAAGTATTTCCAGTTATTGATAAATAGCTCCAGAGGTACAAAGCTCCAGTAGTTGAGACATACTGTTCTTGTACAATGATCCTATCTTTTATAAATGCTTTTTTGAGATAAGGTCTCACTTTATAGTTGAGGCTGACCTTCGCTAGGTAGCCTTATGACCATTTTATCTTTTTTCCCTTTGGCTTTAATTGTTACTTCCTTTCCCGTTTGCATGCAAAGAAAATTCCAATCAGTTTCTTGCACATCATCAAAACCTGCCCTCTGCACCACTTCTGATCAGAGGTTACACAACCATCTGCCCCTCTGTATCTGGCTGGAGGAGAAAGCCAGATCCCCAAGGGTTATGGGCTCCTCTCCAAGTCCTCAATAAAGGCCACTTTCACTTTCTCTTTCCTTCTGCTTCTCTATTGCTTCAGAAAACTCCAACATTTGGTGCCGAAAAATGGGAAACTGGTAGAGTTCATTAGCTCCTGGGGTTTAGCCCTGGTCTTGAGCTCTCCTGCCTAAGACCCACTTTTCCTTCCACTTATTTGCAGCTGCTAGCCTGCATCCAACACCGACCCACATGGTTTGTCACAGGTGAGCCACCTTTCCATCTGGGTTTTTCTCAGTCTAGAACAGTTCTCACGCTCCTTGGGCAACCAAGGCAGAACTGTTCTCAGCTTTGGGAATTTGTAGGCCCATGTCAGATAACCCATTGCCATCCCAATTCCTGAAGATAGGAATTCTCACGTTTCTTGGACAGGACAGCCCGAGGCAGGACTATTACCTTCTTGTTCTCTGGGACTGTCCCCTATGAAGTCTCGGTGACAGCCAGCGAGGATGGGTATTGGGACCTTCCTTGTCATGTTTTCAAAACAGGTGATGACTTCTTTTGACAAGTGTAACCCACAACAACTTTCATGTTCCTTGGGAGGGGCCAAAGCTCTTACATCCCAAGGCAGAGTTGTTCTCTTGGCTCACCTCTATGGGGAATACCACTTTTGGTCCTCTCAAAAACACACCTCTGGGGTGCCTGGTTCATAACCTTTGTGCTCTTGACTTCAAAAGGGCCCTAAATATGAAAAAACTGATCTCCTACTGCCAGGTGGCTTGATGACCTACTAGCTTTTCGGCAGCCTATGGCCTAAAGGGGAAACACTTGACCCCTCTGCCCTTAAAGATCTATATAACTTTTGTCACAATGGAAGAAATCCCTTATGTTCAGGCCTTTTTCACTGTGAGGATGTGTTTTTCTCTCATTCAATCACATATTGTGGCCCAAGTACTAATGACTCAGTCTACTCCACCAGGGTCTCTGCTTTCCTCTCCACCAGACCCCTTAGATGATGGACCTCCTGTCTTTACTGACCCTCCATACCCCCAAGTCCAAACCCCTTGGCCTTCCCAGCCAGAGGTTTCTGAGCTCCCTGCTTCATCCTCCACCCTTTCCTCAGCCCCAGCAGTCTCTCACTCTTCCTTTACTTCCTCTCCCTGATCTCAGATTCCTCAATCCCCCAACCTGAATCATCTATCCTGTTGGACAGCCCTACTTCTATCCTCTCTACTCCTGCATCGCCATTCACCCTGCCAGCTCACCACACTCAGTCTTGCATGTTTCAGCGACCTAGCAGACTGCATGGTGCTCAGCCGCCATCTTGTGGTCTCATGCCATACAATCCTCAGCAGCCATCTTGCTGCAGCTCACACCGAGTTTAAATTTGTAACTAATTGTTATGATTTACATTTCAAGGATATTTATGTGATTCTGAACACTCCTCTCAGCTCACAAAAGTGGGCTCAGTTATGGAAAGCAGCTTGAGAGGAAGCCAACTGTAGACATAAAGCAAATACTGCTGAGAATGACTCTGGGCCTGCTGTGGTGCCTGAACAGGACCCTAACTGGGATTACCAAAGTGGAGAAGGTTCTTATAAAGTACATAAAGTGACTGAATGTTCAATTATGGGCCTGAATAAAATAGTTCACAAGCGTATTAACTATAACAAGCTTTTAAAGCAAGTCCAAGAGGCTAATAAAAACATTGTTATGTTCCTAATATATCTTAGGGACACCCTAATTAAGTTTACTAATGTAAACCCAGACTCTCATGAAGGGACAATTGTTATTAACTCTTATTTTCTCAGTCTGCCCCTGACATTTTTGCATTAATTACAAAAGGCTAAACTTGGTCCTCAGATCCCACAGGGATACCTTCTTAATATGACTTTTTGTGTTTTCAATGACAGAGATAAAACTCAAAAGGAGAAAGCCAAACCCCCAAGAGTTGTGGGGTCCACTTCACGTTCTAACAAAGGCCACTTTTACTTTCGTTCCTCTCGCTTTTCTATCGCACCAGAAAACTCTAACAGATACCATGTATGAGTCATAGCACTGTCCAAAGCCCCTCTTGTTTTATAGCTGTATTGGGGGTCAAGCCTCCAACGACGGAGCTCTGCTTAGCTCAATGTTGAACTACAACATTCTGTCACTGCACCCCATGGCTTTTTTGGTCTATGAAAGTTTTGTGAAAGATGGGAAAATTTTAATCCCCACAGTGAGGTATTAAAAGGATAGAAAGTTACTCCCACTACAGTGGGGTTTTGGGAGTGATTGGGATGATGCCCCAATTATTAAATCCAGGTGCTTTTGTGAAGAGGATGCAAGAGCCACGACACACGCACCTCCCGCTCCTTGCCATTATGTGTGCGATGCCTTAGGGCTCTGGTAGCACAAAGCTCAGCATCTGATGAGAACTCTGCACCTCCAGAACCACCAGAGAAGCTTCTTTCCAGTGACTTCATCGTTAAGAATGAAAAAATGAATGCCATGACTTAGTTTTGGCCTTTTTGTCCTCATTCCTGTCTCCTGTGCTGCTTCACGTTCTCTCTCTGCACCCCTTGTTGCTGTATCTTAACAAGCCGAGGAAGTCAAGGACTTTCTACTCACAGGTAAAGGGACGCAAATGTCGAAAGTGAAAAAAAAAAATAGTGTGAAGCTTAACACTCCATGTAGCACATAGCTTTCTACTTGGTCATCTCCGATAAACTTTAAGATTATAGCCAAAATGACAAAGTAGCAGTGCTACTTTATAATTCAAGGACCACATGAACAGAAACAGAAAACTTCCAAGCAAATGTCTTTGTTTCTTTTGTTGCTGCTGAGCCAGGGTCTCACTATGTATCAGGGACTGGCCTTGGCCTGGTGACCCTCCTTCCTCAGCCTGCTGGATGCTGAGATTACATCAAATACCACCATACTTAAACTTTTTTTTTTTTTTGTCTTTTTGAAACAGGGTTTCACTATGCAGTTCAAGCTGGTCTTGAGCTCACTTTGTAGCCCAGGCTGGTCTCAAACTTGCTACAATCCTCCTGTCTCAGCCTCCTGAGTGCTGGGACTACAGGAGTGCACCACCATGCTTGGCCATACTTTAAAACTGTTAGTTAGGTACAGGTTTCAGTTTTTAGGCTAATACCTTTTATGTGAAGATAATATATCTGCAGGTAAAAATGAAGCAACACTAAAGCAAAAATTTAACTGGATGAACTTTGGTCATTTGATGTTATCCTATGTACACATATATTATTCACTAATACAGTTAAAAGTGGAAAAATATCTGTGTGGTGGTGTGTGCCTATAATCTCAGCACGTAGGAGCCTGAGGCAGGAGGATTGCTGTGAGTTCAAGGCCAATCTGGGCTACACAGTTGAAGGCAGTCTGAACTGTGAAGCATCTGAACTGAAAGTGAAGACCTTTTCTCAACAAACAAACACATACACAAGCAAATAAACAAAAAGTGAAAACATATTTTTAGTTACTTTAGGCAGTACACATAAAAATGTGTCTGTTCTGACTGGTATTATCTGCTTTAGTAAATTGATAAAAGAAATGTAAGAAAAGCAGAGTGTAATACAGTTGCTAACGATCTGTTTATGCACCTAAGTTTACTTGCTCCTAATCTTGACATGAATATTTATATACATTACCACATAGCCTGGAATTCTTATCCTTTTGTCTCTACTCATCACACAAAATGTTAGCATTTCAAATAAGCAAGTAATCAATACATGGCAAATTAATTGATAAATGACGAGCTAAAGACATACATGGTTCTTTAAAAAAGATTTTAATTTTTTTGAAACAGGCATATAAATGACATTTGCTCAGGAGATAGACCAATTTAAGACACATCAGAAATGGATTACAATTCATGTTACAATATCCATAGGTATGACAGGTCTCATGTTTCCTCAGTTATCTTTGTGAACATTTACTAAAATATCACAGCATCCTGGTTAAACTGGAAAGTTTATCTCTCATTTTGAAGAGTAGAATTTATTTAGATTAGTAAAAAACCAAGGCACAGACCATTGCTGAAATGTAATATAATAAAAAATACCTTATTATCAGCACTCGGGAATGAAGCATTCTACCTAAATGTTTAGTCAAATGCAGTTAGCCTTTTACAGTCTAAACTGTTTCCTCAACTACTGGTGACAGAATAATGTATAACATGCCTTCTTAAGTTTTACTTTTTATTTTTTGTCTTTTTAAACTTTAAAACAGACCATGCAGATTATAGTACCATTTTTTCATCTTCGTTAGGAATACAATATCCTAAAGATTTACCAAGGTGGGTATTTGACCCACTGCAGATAACCTAATATGGTTATTATTTTTAAAATTATCAACTCGTTTATTTACTTTATCACATTTAACTGTCAGCTATTATTTCGTGCTTTGGTCAAATGTGTTTTCTGTTACTTTTCTTACCTCTTGTAATATAAAAGTTAGGGAAGAGCAATAAGCTTTTGATGAAATAATGGTTCCCTCAAGAAAGGTCCTTCTTTTTACTGGCATAGGTTAGAGATCATATATTGAGAAAGGAAGGATCCAAAAGAGAGGAGCAATCGGGAAATTTGTGATTTTTTAGACAATGGTCAGATTACTATTATAACTGTTCTTGAATCTGTAGGACTTAATCTTTTCTAGATTGAGAAACCAGAGAGCTAAGTTACAACAATTTATGAAACAGGGTTAAGCATGGGCAGCTAATCTTCTAGTAAATTACAGGAACTCTGAAACGTGAATATTTGAGGGGCTGGGGATGCAGCTCAGTGGTCCTGCGTCTGCCTGGGAAGTGTGAAGCCCCGAGTTTGATTCCTGGTACCAAAAAAAGAAAATAGTTTTTTTTTAAAAAGGCCATGAAGCATGACTGTTTGAAGTTTACGCATTTATAAATTTTTGTACACAGGAATTTTAGTTTTCATGTTTTTCTCTATTTTTATTTCTCAGTCATCACTGAGGTATTGATCTCTGAGAAAAGTAATACTATACCATTACCGCATTAATTATATATATTAATATATGTAATCTCCCCTTGAATAATTAAGTAGTATGTATATTTTATTTATTTTGTGATACCAGGAATAAACCCAGGGCCTCATGCATGCTAGGTAAGCACTCTACCACCGAGCTGCTTACCAGCCTTTTTAATTTTATTTCCGAGACAGGGTCTCACTAAACTGAACAGTCTGGTCTCAAACTTGCACTCCTCCTGCCTCAGCCTTGGAAACACCTGGGATTACAGGCATGTGCCCTACGCTGGTGTAAACGAATTTTTACAACTACTTTCTTCTGAAAGAAGGTATAATGATCTAATTGCTTTTTTTGAGAAAAAATAGAGTAAAAACAATTCCATTTAAAAAATAAGTACTATTAAAAAAGTCAACTCATATAAATGTTAAAAATCTTTTTCCTTTTATTGCTTTTCAGATTTAAGATATCTTAACATACTTTTCAAATTATTTTACTGAATTCATAACTGCTGAATTCTTATCTATCGTTTGATTACATTAATACTGTTCACTGAAATTGTCAATGTAGGTTTTTGTTAACAGAAAACCAGTTTCTACATGAATAGATTCTTGTATACAAACTAAAGTTGGCGGTCAAATTTTAGAAAATTAATATTTTTTTTAAAGTCCTCAAAATGACCAACACTTTCCATTTTGAAAACATAAACAATCTCACAATAAGAAATTGTAACTAAAGACTGATTTTACAAAACTGTTTCTAGGAAAGCAATTTCATAATGCTGTTTTTCCCATATATTTTATAAAACCATTAGCACAAATAAGTTACGTTAAATATAATGTTGGCTTTAAAACATATATTATCAGTGAACAAAATAAAACCATATTTTAAATGTCTGTACTCCATTTACGAGCATATATTCTAGGTGGAAACTTCCCTCATTCTACATTTAAGAAATATTTATGAAATAAATGCATTGTCTATTGTGCAAGGCGCTAAGACTGATAATGATGGTTAGAACCATAAGGTAATCCACATACACTGATTTTGAAGATAGCACGTTCCACAATTCAAAGATCCCTTTCCATTTTTCTGTTTTCCCATTTTATTTTCACTCACATACAAGTTGAAGACTACATGATTTTTCTTCTTGTAACTCTGGGATTTCTACATATTTAAAGGACTCTTATTAAAAAGGAAAAATCCACTGTTAATAACTTTTCTTTCTGATTCAAATTGTAAGCTATCTCTGCGTGTTAGAGGGAGAGGGCTGAGGATACAGTTCAGTGATACAGTGCTTGCCTAGCATGCGCAAGGTCCTGGGTGTGAGCCACAGCACTACAACAAACAAACAAAAACCGAAGAGAGAAAAGCCCAATGCTTTTACAATCTTAACTGGGCATCAGTAGTATATAGGTGCAATTCTTGAAATGACTTTAGCTTGTGCATATAAAGCAGTTACATTGTATTATCACTTGTATTTCATAATATAAATGGTTGCATACATATTAAATATCTATGAATCAGCTACAAATCATAAAGTGTTTCAAGAACGGTAGCAATTGACCAAGCTTGTGTCTCACAGCTGAAAGGACAGTATTGGCCATTTTCATTGGTCAGTTCTGGAAGACCTTTCCAATAGGATCTGGAAAAAAAATGAGGGAGGATGTTTTGTAAGATATAGCCTAATACATACTAATAAAAGAGGCAGGCCCGGTGATATTTTCCATGTAGTAAAGAAAACGAATGACACAGTCATTTGAAATAAAACATATTCAAGATACACACACACACACACACACACACACACACATATATATATATACATATGCATATATATATATTCAAGATTGGAGAGTTATTCTTTGATATTTCATATTTGAGATTTAAGACCTTAAAAGAAATCTATGTATTAAACACACAGAAAGAAAAATAACATGCTGTGTGTGTGTATAGACAAATATACTCTCAGAATAATTTATCCTTTCAGATTAAGTTTATGACTCAAATTGTAATTATATGTGATCTGTATACAAATATAAAACTCAATGAATAAACACTAAAAATCATAACTAGGAAAAGTGTCAATTTCTCATTCTATTGAATAATAATAATAAGCATTTATCATGTACTTATGCTCTAATACTTAGTTACACGCCTCATTTAATGACCAGTAATGTCCTCATAACTAGGTCACTGAATGAGTAACTATAGATTATGTACAATATTAGAACAAAAAGATAGTCAAAGGAAACTCCAACTTGATGACTTTGCTTTTCTTTGTGTAACCTTTCCATGCAGTGCTGTAATGTATAACAAAACATAAAACTACAGTACTGTAGGGTACCGTACCACTAGCAAAAATTACAGTACTGTATAAACAAGGTGTACTGTACAAAGATACTGAGGCTCTATAAACAAGACGTATTGACATATGCTGAGCTGTGAAACTACCAATAAGTTTAGAAAAATTAGAGACACACAAAAACATTCCCTGAATACAATGGAATTAAATCTGAAAACAAAAATAGAAACAACTCTGGAAAATTCTTAAATTTTTGAAAAGTAAATAATGCCTTTCTTTGTAACCTATGAATGAAGGGAGAAATCAAAAGAGAAAACAGAACTGCAAATGAATGGAAATATAAACACAATATATCAGAATGCTTGGAATACTAGTACTCTAGCACTTGGGAAATTTACAGCACTTAAGTACCATATTACAAAAGAAGAAAAGTCTGCAATCAGTGATGTCAAATTTTTACTTTAAGAATGAGTAAACAAAGAACATATTATACCTAAAGCACATACAAGAAAGTGAATCATAGAGTAGAAATAAAACAAAAAAGCAATAAAGATGAATAAATGAAGCAAAAAAACCTCTTCAATTAATAAAATTGATAAAACTTTAACCATACAAATCAGAAAAAAATAAAATAAAATGTAATATTAGGAAAGATAATAAACTGATAATTAAAAAATAATTCACTTTAGATGAAACCATTTCTTGAATTGTGATAAGAATCTTTGACTATCCTCTCATTTAATTTTGTCAATGAGACAAATTTATTCTCACTTTACAAATTTCTTTTAGAAAGATCAAGTAACTTGCTTGAAGCCCATATGCAAAGTAGGCAGCATGGATAGAATCTGAAACTCAGTCTGTAGCTGAAGCTTACTTGAAGCCACTATGGTGTTAAAAATAGCTACTAGAGGAGATGGTAAGAAATAAATGGGAGGGTAGTTTAAAAACGATTGTGGAAACTAGGGGATTTGAGATTCATTCTAAAGAAAATGGAGAATTACTAAATGTTTTATGAGTTATACTCTGACAAAATTAATCTGGCTCAGAGGCTTCTCCAGAGAAGATTATAAAACGAAATTAGGATGTAGCAACAGAAGACAGAAGATGCACTGTTGGAGGGCAGGACAGACAGACCAAGTCTCAGCGACTCATCTGGGTATTCTCAGGAGGAATGAAGAAAAACCCAGGACAGCTAAGCCTGGAGAACACGACTGCTAGGGACACTGTGATGGAAACTAAGAAGACAACTGTGTGAGGATATAGTGACGCTAAAGTGCGTCAGGTGAGGTTCATCTGGCAGACTGAGAGTTCAAAATCATCTGAATAAGTGCAGACATGAAGGAAATGGAAATATCCAGGATAAAAGAAATGCAGAAAATTAAGAGAGAGCAAAGATAGCTTTTTAGGGAATGAATGTATTTAGATGCTAAGAAGAAAAGCCAAAAAGACAAAAACCAAAACCAAGATCAAAACAAAAGAGAAAGAGCTGCTTACCTTCTAGTGGTCAGAAACCAGAGAGTGAAGGGAGGAAACGGGGACTGAGACACCCCTGTGCAGGTCAAGCCCCAGTGACCAGCCTCTTTTGACCAGACCCTGTGTCCTAAGACCTAATAGCAAGTTAGCGGCAGTGCCCCCATATTCTTTTTTTTGGTCTTTTTGAGACAGCCTCGCTATGCAGTTCTGGTTGGCTTTGTACCTTGTGCTCACTTTGTAGCCAGGCTAGTCTCAAACTTGCAAAGATCCTCCTGCCTCAGCCTTCTGAGTGCTGAGATTTATAGGCACGCACCACCATACCCGGCTGTCACATTCCACTTTTTACAAGCCCTGCCTCTGAGCATGTCAGCCTCTGTGGGCATATCTAGAACACAATAGCAACAGTGTCAAAAGCCATGGCCAGGTCAATCAAGAGAACCAAACGAAAGTCATGGGATCTGGAACAAGAAGAAATCTTGTTGAATGCTTTTTCAGATGGTGAGGACAAAAGCCAGAAAGCACGTGTAAACTAGACTAAGTAGGGTAGTCAAAATGTAAAAGGAATGAGGTAATTCTCATAGGAACTGTGTTCTGAAAAGAGAGGAGGCTTGAGTTACTACAGGAAGCAATTTTATTTTAGCATGGCTAAAAACCATCTCTGCAGCTTCAATAAGAAAGATCAAGTGGAATGCTAAGAAAGGGTATTACTGCAGCAAGGTCACACAGCAGGTCAGAAGTGGACTGATCACAGGTAAAAGGGATACGATCCCGGAAATGTGGAATATTCTTACTTTCCACAAACAAAAGGGAACAAGAGAAGTAAATGCAAATAATGAGAAATACTGCAACATGATGAAGAAATGAACATAGAAAGGTTTCACCACATAGACTCAACCTGGAGAGGAAGTAGAAGCAGGCAGAGTTGAGCTTTCTGTGATAACTTTTAAGCTAATGAAAACAAGATGCAGCATTCATGGGTACAGAAGTCCCCTGTGTTCTTATAAAAAAGTGTATATAGTTTATGCTGCTTGTCCATGAGTATTCTGAGTAATAAGACATAGATATGATTTCAAATGACTTGGAATTTGAAACATTAAGATAGATTTTGGCTGAATTATTACCTTTAGGAAAACATGTAACTCTGATGCTGTTTATCTGCTAATAATTTGTAGTGGTTGATACACTGTCAACTTGAGTTTAGAAGCTTAAGCAAAGTGACTCAGCAAGGGGCCAGGGGCTTCACTCTGTAAACATCCTGAGCCTGTACAAGAGAAGGGCTCTGAGATGGTGTGAGTGCTATACCCACCCTAGGGTGGGTGGCCTGCATACAGTATAGGGGAGGAAAAGAGGCTTATTTTCCCCCTTTTCTGAGTCTAGGCAATATGAACATTCTGTGTTCAATTCTTCATCATATTGTAGTATTTTTTATGATTTGCATTTACTTCTCCTGTTCCTTTTTGTTCCTCTTGTTGCTTTTGCCATATTCTGCCACCATGAACCGTTCCCCCTCTGCCATGTCACCCAGCCTTGGAGTCAACTGATTATGAACTGAGTCCTCTACAAACTGTGAGCTAAACAAACCTTTTCTTCTTTAATTTTGGCTGTTGGATATTTTGTCTCAGCAAAAAAGAAAAAAGTCACTAAGACAGAATTAGGACAGATGAAGTGAGAAACACATTTTTTTCCTCTGTCTTTTTGAGACAGGGTCTCACTATGCATTTCAGGCTGGATGACTTGCAGTTCAGGCCCACTTTGTAGCCCATGCTGACCCTGAACTCCCAACAATCCTCCTGCTTCAGCCTTCCCAGTGATGGAATTACAGGCATGTGCCCCCATGCCCAGCTCAAGAAACGGTTTTTGAAGTAACAGTCAAAAGTACCAATGTAGTAACAATTTTGTACTATAATGAAAACATTTCTCAAAATTATTATTATTATTTTGTCTTTTTTGAGATGGGGTCTCGCTATACAGTTCAGGCTGGCCTTGAGCTCACTTTGTAGCCCAGGCTGGTCTCAAATTCGCAATGATCTTCCACCTTAGCCTCCCAAGTGATAAAATTATTATTTTTGCAGCACTCACAAATGAAGTTAGTGTCTTTGCACTGAGCTATATCTTTAGCTTCTCTTTCTTTCTTTTTTTTTTTTCAAAGACAAAAAGTCTCACTAAGCTGCCCAAGTTGGGTTTTAAATTGTGATTCTTTTGCCTCAGCCTTCCAGAGTACTGAGATTAATGTGTGAGCCTGGCTTGAAAATTATTTCTTTGACATATCTTTGAATTAATTAACTCAAAAGGCCCGGGCTAAAGAGTTTTAGTTTTTGTATTTGTTCTGTGCTAACCATATCTAAAAATATCAGGTAAATTTTGAAAATCTAAGATTCTTCTACATGGATGTCTATAATAGCAAATCCTCAAGTTGAAATAAAGTACAATTTAATATGAAAGGAAGGTGAAAATTAAATGATATAATGTATTTTAAAGAGTGAGTGTTTCACATGTTACTGGCATTCTAGAGCTTTCATAAATGAATTCTGTCTTGGTTACTTTTCTCTTGTTGCTGAAACAAAATATCCAATGCCCAAAATTAAGGAAGGAAGGGTTTATTTCGCTCACAGTTTGTGGAGGTTTTGGTCCATAACCACCTGACTCCAAGACAGGGTGGTATGGCTGAGGAGCAACAGTTCCTGGCAGCTGAAGATAGCAAAAGCAGCAAGAGCAAAAAGAGAGGAGCCTTTCTGTCCTTTATACTGTATGCAGGCCACCCACCCTAGGGTGAGTGTAGCACTCATCCATAACCCCAGCATTGGACCATGAATCAATCACAAAGTCTAGAAGCCCACCCCCATGACTGTGTGATGCTTTGGGGGGACATCCAGACATAAACTATATCAAATTCTAAGGAAATTTCACTTTTCTAATACTTTTCTAATTACACACTACTTACGAAAATTAAATACCCTTAACAACTTACCTCTCAAGATGAACATAATGTCGGGAAAGAACATTTTTGACCAAAAACACAGTTTTTGCAGTAGTCTCTGGACCCATCAATTTGGCAAAATATAACTTTGCACGAAGGAAATATCCAACAGGCCATAGCCACTCCTAAAAAAGATCATTTAAAAGCAAAGGGGAAAAAAGAGCTATGAATATCTAAAATTATATTACTTTCAAAAGTTTAAACTGAAAAATCAGAGAAGAGAAATAAAATTCTTACAGGTCCTTGATGATAATTGAAACCTCTAGCAAGATTGTAGTTGTCATTGTCTAAGGCATTGTCATAAATTCCACAGTACACCATATCACTGCAAAATGATTAGAATTTAAGTTAAACAGAAGGTCAGATTCCATTTAAGAAGCATTAGAAACATTTCAAAAGTAAAGGCAAGAGAAATAATCAAATCATTTTGTCCTCCAACTTATAAAATATTCAGCATTAGTACATTATAATCTTAAATTAGGATGTAGTGAGTTCAGAGGATTTTAATAGTGTGTTTAGGAATGATTAGCAAATGCTTAATGGTTACTGTAAAACAGTATATAATATTCTGGTATCTTGCCTTTTAGGAGTTAGCATGACCACTAAATACTGGTTGGTTTAAAGTTAACTATTTCACTAAGTCTCTACTCTCTGTATAATAATTAAAATATCTATATAATTTTTGTTACCTTGTTTATGGAGTAAGGGTCTTGCTGTATTTCAGACTCGCCTTAAACTCACTCTGTAGCCCATGCTGGCCTCAAACTCAGAGTAATCCTTCTGCCTCTGGGATTACTGGCATGCGCTACTGTGACTGGCCTAATCATGTATTATTTTTATAGTCAGAAAAAAGCACTAGAAAATATTCAGGACATACTAGTTTTATTATTTATTTTTTTGAGGCAGAGTCTCACTGTGCAGTGTAGGTTGGCTCCAAACTCACATAGATTCTCCTATCTCAGCTTCCTGAGTCCTGGGATTATAGACATATGCCACTATGCCTGGCAGGACATATAAAGTTAAAAACTTTTGATTACTAGCCAGGAGTGGTAGTGCATGCCTGTAATCTCTGTATTAGACAGTTTGAGGTAGGAGGACTGTTGCAAGTTCAAAACTAGCTTGGGCTACAAAGTGAGCTCAAAGCCAGCCTGAACTGCATAGCAGGACTCTGTCTCAAGAAAAGACAAACAAACAAAATCTTTGATTAATGAACATAGGCAAACCAGAGGCATTTGGAACACTGATGCTTAATGAAGACAGAGATGTTTGAATGCAACAAGAGATGTTATTGGTAATGCAGACATTAATAGCTGATGTCAGTGGACTTTGATTAAATATAACATCAATAATATTTTTATATAGGATATTTTTCAACTTACTCTGGATCTAAGGTTTTCATGCCTAGGGGGCCCAGCAATTTTTTTTCTGCAATCTCCAAAGCTTTCCATGCTTTTCCTGCAGTAAAGAGCTCAGGGGCCTAGTAAACGTCAAAAACAAATACACCAGCTTTTTAAAACCATGAAATAATTAATTCTCATCCACATAAATTAATCACAAACTTGGAAAGTGAATAAAGATTACCTAAAAATACAGCATGAGCCAGAATTTGAGAGCAAATGCCTAATGAAATTTGAACCTGTAAGGCTGACTCGGAGGCACTACTTGTGGTTGAGAAAGGACGTTTATGTGTTTTCTTTCCTTATGCCACTCAAAGAACATATACCAGATCCCTAGAAAAGCTGTCTAAACTACAATGAAGGCAGAACTATTTAAAACATTTCATTTATTCTTTACAAGATTTTTAAGTATTTCCTTTAAGTATATCTGAGCCTGTTTTCTGTTTTATTTTGGTTTTGCTTTTGGGGTCATTTAATAGACTACTACAGAAGAACTTACATTTCAATAGCATGAATAGTTACTTACGGGGAAAGTGAGGAGTTGGCATCAATTTTAATAGCTGAACAAAACTCTGCATTAATTTTAATGATTAAATGAAATAAAATGCACACTGGGCCAAGGTACATTCATGTGCCTTTGTGTTTTTCACTATACTATGATTTATAATAATGTATTGAGTAAAAAAATTTTTTTTGGTGCTTGGGATAAATCTCAGGGCATTGTAGCATGCCAGGTAAGCAAGTGCTCTACCACTGAGCTATATTCCCAAGGGTTTAATAACCTTTTGATAAAATGGAAAAAGCTAGACAGGCATGGACTAATATAAGTATTTCTTTATTTTACTGCTTTTATAGATTATTGCTAGGCTAAGTGGACAATTCTTGGCTAAATGAACTAATTAGAGCAATGAAAAACACAAAAGTGAATTTAAGCTTTCATGGAAATTCACTAGCTCAGAGCTTTCCATCTGGAATCTCTCTTTTTGGTGGCGGTAAGGAGTGGTACTGGGAATTGAACTCAGGACCTTGCGCTTGCCAGAAAGGTGCTGTGCCTGGCCCTCCACCTGGTATCGCAAAGCACTAACTGTATGCAACACAGGCATCAGAGATACAGATGCCCTCAGCTCTCGGCAGTGGGGTGGGGGGGCTAACTGCAGCAGTTAAATCTCACACAAGCAGACTAATTCATTTAGTGCAGCGTGTTGTTCAAATGTCATTTTCTACAAAAACCATGATGTAAAGAAATATCAGGCAGCACACCATTAGTCATCATTTTCTTTTTTTTTTTTTTTTTTTTTTTTAGTCATCATTTTCTGTTTCTTGGTACTGAGTGTTACAGGTTAAAGATATTATGTATACCTTATTACTTAGATTATATAAAACTAGCATGTAATGTGTTTTACAGTTAGATGAATTTGAAAACAAGTAGGTATTATAGACCTAAGTAGGTCCTATCACACAATTTTATGAACTTTAAAAGTAACAAACTGCTCACCACGACCATTGCGATGGTAAAGTTCGGCCTGAGCTGGTAGTCACACCAAGGACTGGAAGCTCCGTAACTATCTTTGTAGATGCCCCGTTTGTGGACTAGATTTGGATGCTTCTCATTAGGGTCTGAAGGGTCTTCCGAAACATGAAACAGCTTTTCAAAGTTGTCTTGTATTTTCCTGTTCCACTCATCATATGAGACGGCTACAACTTTCCCTGAAAAATGGTAAGAGATGGAAGTTTAGACATTCAAAGCAATTTAAACATTAATTGAAGTCAAAGTCATCTTTAGTTTACTTATTTTTATCTATTAGGAGTAAAATACATTTTCTACTTTTTGAAAATGTGGCTAGTCTGAACTGGGATTGCTATAAATGAAAAATATTCATTGGATTTTGACGATTTATTCTCTCCCCAACAAAACATAAAATGAATTAGGAATAATTTTATATTACTTACATGTTTAACAATATTTCATATTGTTGTTACATTTTTAATATTATTTCATATTGTTAAATTTTTCATATAGCTAAATAAAATGCTGAATAAAATATCATAATTAACTTCACCTGTTTCTTTTTACTTTTTTCAAATGTGCATACTAGAAAATTTAAAATTATGTATGTGGCTTAAATACTTCCATTGGACAGTACTCTTCTAGAAAGAGATGTAAAAATTTAAAAAATTACTCACGGAAAAAGCTGAGCATGGTGGTACAAATCTACAATCCTAGCACTCAGGAGGCTGAGGCAGGAGAACTGCTGTGAGTTCAAGGCCAGCCTGGGGTACATCAACAGTTAAGGCCAGTTTCCCTCCAAAGGGAAACTTAACTTAAAAGAAAAAATGCTGGGCATGGTGGTTCATGCCTGTAATCCTACTACTTAGGAGGCTGAGGTAGGAGGACCCTCACAAATTTGAAACCAGCCTGAGTTACACAGTGAGTATAGGGCCATCCTGAACCATATACTGAGACCTTGTCTCAAAAAAATCACAGAAATGAAACTTGCTTATAGAAATACTGAGGAAAAATGAGCACAATAAGGTAACAACAATAGTACTTTTCTCATCTTAGTACAAATATAAAAATATGGTTAGTAACCAGGTCTGTTACCATTTCCATGCCAGCAAATTATTTTTCTTTCCTCTTACAATTTAAGATTTTCTAATACTAGCTGACTTGATCAAATGATAATGTAGGTTAAGCTTATAGAGAGTACATTAGAAATATCTTTGTAAACAAACAAACAGCTTACCGTGTCTTTTTATTCTAACTTCATGATAAGGAAAAATATTTTTTTTGGATAATTCCAGCAACCAGCGAACAGCAGATTTGGCAAGGCCTACAATTTCCACAGCAGACCCATCTCTAAAATTAAAAATAAATTTTATTCTATAAATAGAACTCACTTAAGCATTATTTAAAAAGGCATTCAGGCTGGGCTTGGTGGTGCATGCCTGTAATCTCAGAAGCTTGGGTAGTTGAGGCAGGAGGACTGCAAGTTGGATGCCAGCCTGGCAACTTAGAGAGACCTTAAAATAAAAAAAATGCTGGGGGCAGCCCAATGCAAAGGCTAGTACCACAACCCATAGTACCACACGCATGGGACAGGGACATGGCTCAACGGCACAGCACCTGCCTGGCAAGCATGAGGCTGTTAGTTTTGATCCATTGTATCAAAAAACAGAAAGAAAAGAAAAAGAAAAAGAAAGAAAGAAACAACAACAACAACCCCCCCCCACAAAAAACCTAGTAACTAACACACACACACACACACACACACAAAGGGCACTTACAACTAGTGTTATTATACAAATGACTGCCTACCAGAAAAATCTTCACTTTTAATGAGTAGATGGTATACCTTTATAAGCAATCTCATTTATTACTGTCTTGCCATTGTTTTTTTTAATTTAAATTACTTTATTTGTTAATATTAAGAAGAAAAGGTAAAACAAATTTTCACAACAAAATAATGAAAAAGTAACAATTATTGATAAATTACACATCATTATCTTTAGTCACTCAAGTACAAAATATGGGCATAAAAATTTCTTCAATCAATATTAGCACAAACTTTCCTATTCAGTGAACTAAGTGACACTAATGGTATAACTAACTTGCATTTTTTTCTCTTCCGTTCTGTCCTTTCTCTTTTCCCCTATCTTAGTTTCTTCTTTTTATTGAACAGTTTCCTCCCATTTCACAGTGACTATTGTATATTTTGAACCTTATGGTTTCACATATGTCACTGTGGTGTGATGTTTTTCAATCCTGCTGGGAAGATACACAGAAGGGGAATACCTGGGTTGAATGGGACCTCTAATCCTAATTTTTTGAGGAATCTCCACACTGATTTCCACCTATTTCGAACACCATTGTTTATTTTCCTAACATTTTTAGAGGCTCATTTGTAAGGAAAACAAAAAAATACAAAATCTAAACATGTATCCCCCAAAACACATTTGTAAAGGAATTTATGAAGTACGCAAAGATAGCAACTTTCTTCTTTGATATGGGAACCCAAGGCATCACACATGCTAGATAAGTCCTGGACCACTGAGCTACACTCCAATTCTTATAGCAACTATTAACTAGTCTTTGAATAACTTTAAATGAAAATACAATTTCAAATAAGAAAATAGCTTCTTAGCTTAATATAGCAGCAGAAGCTATTTGTTGACAGCTTCTGAAATCATAAAAAGACAAATGATAAATTCTGAGATAAATGACAAAAATTAGGGAGAAAAAGTTCAAGAAAGGAAATTTTGTAAAAGAACATTAGTCTGCAAAAGACACAGAAATGAGTTCAGTGTAAGAACGTGTCTTAACCTTTGGGTAATGAATTATACAACTCTTCTTTAAGGGGCTTTACTCAAACCATAACTTTCAGAAGAGAACAGACAGCTTTGCTTGATGCTTTATACCAAGAGGATTGTGTAGTTTTACAATGGGAAGTAGAGGGAAGCATGGAAAAGGAAGTGGGACAGAAGGAGGAAATTAGAGTATGACTGATTTAATATACAGAATTCATGGTTAATAGAATAAAAGATTCCACAATTGTGACTTTTCTTTAAAAAGAACATGGTAAATCAGAAGGGTATAATCATATAGCTACTATTAAAATAAAACTACCTTGGAGTGGCTGGGATTCCTCTGTTTCTAGCTCTGTCACTTTCTCCCATTTTATCCATCCACGTGCCACAATTGAAGCGATTTCCACCATAAACAAATCCTGTTTCTTCATCAACCCCTGCAGTTATATTAAAACCTAAAAAGTAAAAATTTACAAAATAAAATGTTTTATGGTAAACATGTATTATACAGTATGTACAAGTAAACATTTAAAGCATTTGTAAAAGTTTCAAGGGATATAACAACCAGGACAACTACTCTGAAGATCAATTTGGTAAGGATACCTTACAAGTTGAAGATGTGCATCTTCAGCCATGTAATAATTTATCTTTACATATACTACAGAGAAACTCCTATCTATATGCACATGTATATATGTGTAAGAATATTGAGGTGGATTAAAAACTGGTGGTCAACTTAATACCAGCTGAACTAAATCAGCATGGTGCTGAGTCGGGGGCTCCCCTGAGGACTGTTGCCAATATTAAAGGAGAACTGGAGAAGTTAGTATTGTTTGGTGCCGTTGGTTCTCCTGTTGTGGGTTCACCTGGAGGAGCCTACTGAGCTGCTTTCCTGATACGAACTTGGCTGTTCTCATCATCAGAGGTGCTTGGGACCTTGTTGCTGAGAATGGCTGTGCTTCACTTTGGGGAAGCTTTATTTTGAGCATTGCTTCCTCACTCTAGAGTGGACATGCTGTGCTGTTCAATCTCTAGAAGTTTGTTATGCTGGCTTCCTGATATGAACTTGGCTGTTCTCATTGTCAGAGGAGCTCGGGACCTTGTCACTGAGAATGACTGTGGTACTTTTCTGGGAAGGCCTGGTCCTTATTTTGAGTGTTGCTTCCTGGCTCCAGTGCAGAACCCTCAGCCTACTGACACAGATTCTTCATCCGGAAGGATCCACTGCTGACCTTGAGGCTTTCCCAGTGCAGATCCATGAAACAGATTTGCATGAGTCACTGTCATGGGCTCTATGCCTTCAGCTGGACTTGGGGGCACTGTGGTGGATTCTAGGTCTTCAGCTGAACTCATGCAGTATTATAGTATTATTCAGTATTATAGTATTATTATATAAATAATACTATAAATTATACATCCTGTATGTAATTGTTCTTGCAATCCCTGACTATAACAAATATTCATTTGTAACACTGTTTATATTAGGAAAATAAACAAACAAGTAGAGGAGTGAATGAACTTGGTGTCTATATACTGGGAAACTCTCATACAATCTAAAATTAACAAATGATTTGCATCAATCAAAACTGACACATTACCAAGACAAAATGATTAAACAAGTTGCAAAAGGATATGTATAATAAGAGATCTTTTTCTGTAAACTTAAAATGTAAATCCTAATACATACAACTATGCCTGCCTTTATGGCTATATCTAGTATTGTTACAGGCAGCTGAGCTAGTTAGAAATATTATAGGCAGTCAGACAGGGCTAGGCGCTCGAAGAAGCCAGCACAGAGGACCAGATGTCTGATGACCTTGGAGGGACTTGTGACCACCTTCTTCAGCTCCTGAGTAGCTGGGATTGCAAGTGTGTGCTGTTACACCCAGTGGGGTTAACCTTCCCATTTTTATATCTTGAGGCTTCACATACAAATATTTGTGATGTAAATGAATGACTGCGAGGTTTAATTTCACTGCCTCAGTACAGTTTTACCATGGAGTAGGGTGTTTACCTTCATCCTTCATGTTCCGATCTATCTGTGAGCCAGCATTTCTCTCTCGGAACTGTATGCCCTGCATATGTCTTTGCATAGTTTCTTGTATCACTTCAAATAGTGGTTGATCCTGTTGGAGACATCATGGATGTTACTTTTGTTAAAGTTACATTCTTCTTTATAGTTCCCCAAACCCAACAATAAAGTAATGTGAAAACATAAAACTTTTCTTTGGATTGGGTGGCTGAAGAATTGAGTTCTACTCATCAAATAATACAGTGTGGCATATGAATATTTAATGTGAGTAGTTTTAACTACTCAGATATTTGACATAAAATAATTTGTACAGTTGCTGAGACAGGAAAATAAATCTAATGAGCTTGTATAATTTTTGTCAGAGCAATAAATAATAAACCTAGCTTGTCATCTAGCATTTAAATTTTAATTTAGTGTAACTGATATTACTTATTTGCATACATAGTAATATGGATACATTATGTAAATTATGTATAAAAGTGATGCTCTTAAATTTGGGGATCTATAGTGACTTCAGAAATATCCTTCATAAATATATAGAGTAATTTTCTTTTCTTTTTTTTTTTTTTTTTTTGTCTTTTTCAGTACCAAGGATCGAACTCACGACTGCCTGCTTGCAAGGCAGGCACTTATGCCACTGAGCTAAATCCCCAGCCCCTAGAGTAATTTTCTTTATCCATATAACTAACAAATGTTACACTGGGATAATGTATAGGAAGCCATATAGTTATATATATTTTTATATTTTTATTATTATTATTATTATTTTGGTACCAGGGATTGAACTTGTGACTTTGTGCCTGCCAGGCAGGCACTATACTGCTGAGCTAAATCCCCAGCCCTGTATTTTTAAAAATAAGATGAAAATGGTCAGAAGCAAAATGTTTAGAGTCCTGTTATTTTATATTTCTTTCTTTTTTCATTTTTATCGGTACTGGGGATCGAACTCACGACCACCTGCTTGCAAGGCAGGTACTTATGCCGCTGAGCTAAATCCCCAGGCCCCTATATTTCATTTTTAAAACCCTAAATAAAATCAAAACACTTATAAAACTTCTGTTAGTAACTGTAAGTTATAAAACATTTTAAAAATGCTGTACAACTGTTTTTGATAAATTATGACAAAATTAGTTTGTACAAAATAAATACCTCCCTGATAACATGAGGGCATATTTATATAACTGAAATGTGTCAGCTGACAAGAGAAGACAGATTTTAAAAACTTATGGTCAAATTTTTCTGAGTCCTTCACAGAAGCAGCCAAAGTGTAATCATTCCTCACTGGGAAAAAAACCACTTGAAAATATTTATGCATTCTCCACTGTTCACATGATAAGCTCTGAATTCCCTAGATTGGTCATCAAGGCCTCTATACTCCACCATCTCTCACTCCTCTGCAGGTATCCTGCACAAAAAGCCAAATTATACTGCACAGTCTGCCCTAACCAGTGCTCGGATCCACTGTGTTTTGTTATCCTTTCCTCTTGATTACTTTTTCCTAACCTGCCTCATCTCTCTTGAAACCCTACTTACCATGCAAGGCTTGATTCAGCCTTGAATGAATCCTCAATGAAGGACTGAGCTCCTTTTCTTTCTTGTCTTTTTGAGACACGGTCTCACTATGTAGTTCAGGATGGCCTTGAGTTCACTTTGTAGCCAATGCTGGTCTCAAACTTGCACTGATCCCCCTGTCTCAGCCTCCCAAATGCTGGGATTACAGGTGTGTGCCACCAAACCTGGTGTTAGCTACTTTCGGAAGTTCTGAGACCCACCTACTAGCTCTTTTTTATGGGAGTACATGGCACTTTCTCACTTTGCAATGATTATGTTTATTTACACATTAATTCTTCTACCACGTTTCATGCTCTTTAGACACGGAGCAAATCTTAACTCTGCAGTCTCAGATAGTAAAGACATGTGCTAAATAAATGTTGGTATTTGAATAATTCTTAAGATTCAGATTCTTAGCTATATTTATTTTACATTAAATAACAGAAATCATATTTCAGGAAGGAATTATTTTTACCAGTGTACCAGCAGGCAAAGGAGCAGAATCATCTGTTGGATACATCCTGGACACTGGACACTTGAGAATGTCTAGACCGTTCGGGACGATCTTACAGTAATCCTGAATACACTGCAGCCACCACCACACAGCATCCCGGCAATTGTACCTGGCATAAACTCCTTCACCAAGGAGGTTGGGGATAAGACCATGCCTCAGAGTACCAGCGAATGCTAAAATAATGTTCCTAAAACAACAGAATTAAGTAATCATTTGAAATGGAAATGAACAGTTGAAGACAAAAAAATGGTCACTTTGATGACTTTATTTTGGATGCATTTTTTAACTTGCCCTTATTTCTTTTAAGCAGTGCTTCTTCTATCATATTACAATAGTATGATAGGAAAAGCACTGACTGAAAGTCGGAAATCCTGACTCCAGCTGTGGCCGCTTCCCTAACAATCTGTGTGACTTACTCTCTCTGGTAGAGTTTTTTCACCTGTGCAGTCAGGAATTGATTGATTTTTTAATGTCCCTCACAGCTCTAGATTCTACTTTTGAAATATACTGACTTCAAAATCTAAGTAACTATCAGACATGAACTTTATTATTTTAAAAAAGTAGTTATCAAGAGCAAAGCAAATACATAAGAAACAATAGACTGAAGTTGATCTGGAAAAACATGTTGAAAAACTGGTCAAAGATGATTTATCTTTTGAAGTATCATTCTACCATAATATACCAAATGAAAACTTAGCTTGCTAAGAAGGCCTGGAATTCTAGAAAGGCTATGAAATTACTACAAAACAAAAGGGTTGAGGTCTAAATCTTAGATTTGCCATCTGTATGACACTGGAAAAAGTCATTTAAGATGTCTAGCCCCCGGTGTGGTGATGGACGCCTATGATTCCAGCATTCAGGAGGCTGGGGGAGGAAGATCACTGTGAATTCAAAACCAGCCTGGGTTACAAAGAGAACTCAACGCCAGCCTCAACTACACAGGGAGACCCTGTCTCAAAAAAAAAACAGTCCTTAGTGATTTTTAGTTAGACCTTTCAGAAATTTTATTAATTCTGTGCATAAATTTAATGCCCATGTCTTAAATATTAAATAATTGTGCAGTATGAGAATTTTCATTTTTAAAGTATAGAAGTATCAATATGCGCAATGACACTCCAAATTAATACAAGGTTACAGTGTCACAACATTATCAGAACAGGGTCACACACGTGAAAGTTGAATAAAAAGACCTCTGATGGATGAACACCTACCCCCACAGAGGGAGGAAGCAGAATCGTTTGTGGTAGAGAGAGCTGTATGCCCTCTGAAATGTTTTTCAACATTTTCCCAACCAACCTTCCATTTGGTTACGGCTAGATGCCTGGGACTGCCGGCAGGAGAATGTGAATGGCACCCATGTGTAACTATAGTTGTACAGAAAACAGATATGTTTCCCCAGGCTCTCTTTTTCTTTCTGCTAACTAACTGAAGAGGATTTAGAGGCCTTACACAATGACAGATTCTCTAAGTGGAAGATATCTGTTATCCTTGAATCATTATAAGAAAAGCAGCCTGCTGAATTCCTGTCAGGAACTATAAACAAGAAATAAATTTTGTTTGTGCCAGGCATGATGCTGCTGCTGTAATCTCAGCACTCAGGAGACTGAGGCAGGAGGATCCCTGTGAGTTCAAGGTCAGCCTGGGCTCCCTAAGAATGTAAGACCTGAACTACATGTGACAAAATGTCTCAAAATGTTTTTTTGTTTGTGGAAGCTATTAGAATCTAAGAGTTTATAGCAGTTAGCTCCACCCTAAAAATTTACTATCCTTTGAGAATTCTCAAGATGTTTTTCTGTAAAGGGTCAGACAGTAAGTATTTTAGGCTTTGTAGTTCATAGTTTCTGACAGATATTCTTTCTGTCTCTATTATTTTGTTTGGTTGAGAGAAGGTCAAACTATGTAGTCCAAGCTGGCCTTAAATTTCCTATGTAGCTCCTAAGGGCAGCTTCAAACTCACAATTCCCTTTAACTTCCTAAATGTTGGAATTACAGGTGTATGCAACTGTGTCTAGCTATTTTCTTCTTCTTTTTAAAAGATGGTGCTATTTCTTATTTTTCTCAGAAGGGTCTTGCTGTGTAGCTTAGGCTAGTCTTCAACTCATAAAGCACAAGTTGCCCTCAAACTCATGGTGATTCTCTGTCTCAGCCTACTGAGAGCTGGGATTATAAGCATGTGTCATCATGCTCAGCTAAAAAAAGACTCTTTAAAAAGGTAAAATCTATTCTTTTTCTTACAGTTTCTACAATATAGGTGACAGGCCATAATTTGCTAGCCCATGATCTGGTTATACAAAAAAATTGTAATTTAAAAATTATGCTTTTAGGGGCTGGGGACTTAGCTCAGTGGCATAAGCGCCTGTCTGACAAACACAAGGTCATGAATTTGATCCCTGGTATCAAAAAAAAAAAGTATACTTTTAATAACTGTAGATTTAGGACTCAAAGTTACTCAAGCCTGTTTTATTTTTATTTCAGGAAACTCATTAAGAAAATTCCTAAGGGTCTTAAAAGACAGTAAGTCTGTGCCTGTGCTTTTCACCTGCAAACTGTGTATTCACACAGCAAGAGGGCAGCATATTTGGGCTTCATGCACAAGTAAGCAGTCACCTTCTAACACAGCCTGCCCGAGAGGTAACCTGACAGGAATACACATCCTGGGTCAAACATCCTGAAGAAACCCTCAGGACTGCATACATATCCCCAGATCAACCCTCTCTGAAGGACCTACACTCTGTTCTCTGAGTGCCTCATCAATTTCTTTATGCTTCTTGCCAACACGTTTTGAAAACTCCTTGCCTGGGTCTGATGTCAGCAAACTTACAAACTACCCCATGGACAGGGAATGCGCAGGCTCCCCATCTCCACTCTGGAACCCTCTTGGGCACCAGCCAGTGACACATACAAGTGGGAAGTGAAAGCCCACACAACAATCATAATCTAGCATTTATAGAATCTTCAGCTTGGGGCAGACACTTATTTAACTGCATGAGCTCATTTAATGCTCACACAGCTCAATAAGCAAATACCACAACCATTTTACAGAAAGCTTGAAGAGAGGAAGTGACTTGTCACTTGGAATGAGAAGCTTGCACCATGACCCAAAAGCCTAATTCTTAACTATGATACTGTGTGGAATGATGATAATCTGTTTCCTGCTTCCTCATCAGTCATTTTGGGAACACTTGGGGGAAGAATCAAACGTATTCCTAAATTTTGGTAGCCCTCCCCCACAACTATAACTTAAGACAATTTAAAAAAGGTCATACATTAGTATAGCAGGGAAGAATGAAATTCCTCTTGTTTGTTCATTCTTTGAGAGGGGATCTTGCTGTGTAGTTCTGGCTGGCCTTGAACTTACTATGTAGCCGAGGCTAGCTTTGAGCTCACAGGAGTTGAAGATTTAGCTCAGTAGCACAAGTACCTGCCTGGCAAATGTGAAGTTGTGAGTTTATTCCTGGTATCAAAAAAAAAAAAAAAAAAAAAAAAAAAAAAAAAAAAAGAAAAGAAAAAGAAAAAGAAACAACAACAAAAAACTCACAGCAATCCTTCTGCATCAGCCTCCCAAGTGCCACCACACCTGGCTGTAATTCCTTTTAAATGTCCATTCAGACATTTCAATTTATTTATTTATTGAGACAGGGTCTTGCTATATATTCTAGGTTGGCCTCAAACTTATGGCAATCCTCCTGACTCAGCTTCCTGAGTGCTGGATTAGAGGTATGCACTACCACATACAGCTGATACTTTAATTTTAAAATGACAAGAAAAAAAAACTGTAGGCATTTAAAGAGGAAAATGTCAGTTATTACTCTGATGGCATCAAAATAACTATCAGATACAGTAAATGCTTTTTTGTTAAAAGTTTTAACCTGCAGAACTGTGCTTTCAAACTTTACACTCAGGCTGCTGCTGATTACCTAGAAACCTTGTGAAGGCAAGTTTCTGCCTCCCACCCCTGCTCAGCCCTCCTCAAAGTTTAGATTCAGGGGGTTTGCATAAAGACCAAGGATTTGCATTTCTAACAAATGCTCAGATTATGGTGACAGTCTTGCTTTGTGGACAACAGATTGAGAGGCACTGCTAAAGAACTTTGCTATCTCCCAGAAATTTGTTATATTGTTAAGGCACAGGAAAACATCGTTTTTAGTCTAGAAAACATAGAACTGTTGTAAGGCCTGAAAACAAATAAAGGAAAACTTGAATTATCCTTCTGTAAGATTCAAAGAGCCAGCACTGCCTTTATTAGACAAGGCATAAAATAGTTACAAAATTTTGTTTCAATAATACATTTCAATAATACATTTGCAACCTCTGAATGAAGATAACCTAACCTTTATATGAAAGACCAGAATTTAGTAACTTCAAAGATGTTTTCCTCCTTTAAAATTATCTTCTATGATCTTATTAAATGAATATATGAAAAATAAAACAAAAAACACCGAAGGAAAACAGCTCTCAAATGTTGCTGATAATACATAGATAAGAAAGTTTGAAGAACATGTAAAGAACACTGCAACTTTTTAGATCTCTTACCTGGCCTCTAAGTAGCGTCCAGTAACCAGCAAAAGACCTCTAAGTGCAATAAAAGTATCCCTTCCCCAACAGCGGAAAAGACCAGCAGAAAAATGAGGTAAGCCTAACAAAACACAACAAAACAGTATGGTTATCATAACATATGTAAACCTATGAATAACGTTAGTACAGAACAGTCACTCTAAACCTAGGGTAAAAGGACAGGTTACAAGGAATTGGCAAGCCCTTTTAGATTATCTGCAACACTTGTTTACGCTTAGATTAACTTTTATGGAATGAGGTTCTATATATGATTCTTAAAGAGATTAAGCACAAGGAGATTAAGTATGAGTTGCTGAGGTTTTACCTCTTTCTTTTTTGTGGTGCTAAGAATCAAACCCAGAGTGTTACATGCTAGGCAAGCACTCTGCCACTGGGCTATACACCCTTAGCCTTGAGGACCTGTGCTAGAAAGGGATATGTCACTGAATTGAGTTGGGGGGAGGGGGGAAGGGGAAGAGAAAGAGGAGGAGGAAAAGAAGAACTACTACAATAAAATTTTAAATTACATCAGTTAGGGGTCGACAATGGTACATACATTGTGCACTGTCATCCCAAATCATTCACCCAGAGTACTAGACATCTGCATTCAATTATGCTAGTGGTACCAGCACCAATCTTTCCCTTCAGCGAACTCAGAGAAATCAGTCGTATAATTATTTTAACTATTTTTTATATACATATACATATATACATGTTTTCCAGCTTCTTACACTAATGAAACAATATGATGTTTACACATTACACTAAAAATTTATTACTAAATTTTCCATTAATTTAAAACGACTTAGTGTTAAACTGTACATAATATATAGTTTTTATCAATTAAAATTAACTTTAAAAAGTGTTACATTTTCATAGGAACAGCTTTTATAGCTGAAAACAAGGATTATACATACACAGCTTTTATAGCTGAAAATAAGGTCTATACATACAAAACAAGGACTATACAAATAAATAATGCAAACATTCCAAGTAACTGCCACATTTATGTACGAGGCAAAAAAGGATGATTAATGATAAAAAACTTCTAAAACTTTATATTTATTTATTTATTCGTACTGGGGATTAAACTCATGACCAGGCAGACGCTGTGCCGCTGAACTACATCCCCACCCTAAAATTTTACTTTTAGATTGAGTTTGATGATCCTCTTTCCCCATGCTGGGGAGTCAACCCAGGGCTTTGCTCATGCTAATTAAGTACTGTATTCTGCTTATCTCCTACCTGTTTGCTGAATGAATCTTCACAGTAGAAAATAAGACCCATGATGATAAAAACTTTATCTGCCTTGCTCACAATGTACATTTATTCACTGAAAATCATAACTGGCATATTATATATCTCTATAAATACTTGTTGAATGGGTAAGAGACTAATGCTAAAATATAAATTCAGAAGTGGAAGAATAACTAAAATAAGAATTTTAGCATTGCTAAGTATATTTCACAGTTTCCGTTTCTGTTAATTGGAGCCTTTACAGGGAAATTAGATATTAGTTTCCACAATTAAGAAAGAGCAGAACTAAAGGCAACACTAGATTGTTTTCTGTTATTTCCCCCAATACACTATGTATTATATATAGTTGGTAGTCGGTAACTTCAGTGATGAGGACAATGACAGTATCCAACAATTACATAATACCCTGCACAGACTTCTTCCTAGTACTTTAGCCCTCTTATCTTCTTATATGCAACATGTGTATAGATAAATTTGAGGGTAGGTTTGAACGGATATGCCCTAAAATATACACAGTCTCTCTTTGTTGAAAAGTAAAAGCTATAGAACCTCTAGCACTGGTAAGCGGATATATTTATACCAACTTATCTGTAAATCTCAGAAGAGTCCTAATTTTTGCCAGTGTTAGTTAGGCAAAACACATGGGATACTAGAAGCAAACACCAAAGTATCTATTTATATTTATTTGTTGTACCTGATATATATATGTAGCAAATATTATAATTCATGCTAATACAATTTATAAATAAATGGATATATTTTGGTGGTGTTTAACAACAGCAGTATATAACCTAAAAGATTAAGATAACTGTTTTATATAATAGGCTTTTTTGGTACCAGGTATCGACCTTGCACTTGCAGGCAGGCATTGTGCTGCTAAGCTATATCCCTGGCCCTGTAATAGGTTTTCATTCATTCACTCATTCATTTATTTTTAGGCTTTTAAAAAGGACACTCTAAACCCCAAATTTGTCGCATCTGTTTTTCTCCTACAATGGACCAGTTCACTTTTAGGAGCATTGGATAGACTCACATGGGAGTAACTGGTACTAGGAAGAAACCAATCAAGTGAAAATGTGAAACACAATTATAAAATTAAAAGTTTTGATTTCATGTTTTTATTAAGTTTTTTAAAATTTAAGTTTTAAATTTTTTGTGGAGTTGGGGATTAAGCCTAGGATCTCATGCATACTATGTAAGTATTCTACCAATGAATTGTATCCTCAAATCTAAAACCAAGTTTTTATATTTTTATGACCACTCTAAGTGAAAAGGTAATTTCTATCTTAATTGTTGGGTACTAAGAAGTCCTTCATCTGATCTAAACATCTGATGTAACTTTAAAGAAATTTAAGTTTAACAGAAGGTACCATATACATAATATTACTTTATTCTTGTAATTTTTACTTATTAGTTTAGAAAGCTCTAAATTTCAGTGGCTACAAACACTAAGTACTTTCTAGAAACGTACTGGAAATTTATAAAAAAAATAAGTCTGTTCTTTATCCTATTTTGCTTATTTGATAAACATTTTAAATCTACTGGTAGGAAAGGATGCCAATAAATTTGGCTGAAAGCATCTGACAGCAATTAGTATCTAAATAATAAAAACTTATTCAACATTTGTTTTATGTACTGCAACTTGCACAATACGTTTAAATGATAATGTAGTAATTGCAACTGTTTTTTTTTTTGGGGGGGAACAGGGTAAGAAATATAAAGAGGGCAAGGGATTTAGCTTGGTGGCAAAGTGCCTGCCCAGCAAGTGCAAGGTCCTGAGTTAAATTCCTGGTAGAAAAAAAAAATAAGAAAAGGCAATATAACGAAAAGGTAGTAAACTATATTTGGTTTCACAAAATATGAAATGTCAACAGTTGGAAAAACATACCTACAGAATTAGCCAATCAAAACATACCTAAAGAATTAGCCAATCAAAATAGAAAAGAAGGTACCATGTGTGGGCTGACTGGGGAAGAACCAGATGCCAGCCCTCTCCTGTGAGCTGGTGCCATTTGCAGACTGCAGGGGAGAACAAGAAGACAACAAGAAGCTAAGACCTCTGGTGAGTCAGCACCATGTACAGGCTGACTAGGGGACAGCCATACACCAGCTCCTTCTGGTGCGTGTGTAGGGAGACAAGAAGAGCCAACATCTACCCTGCTACCCAAAAAGTGAATGGCTGATCTGGAGAAACACAGGCTATGGTGATAGCTATTGAGGTAAAATACAACTTAATGCTTGTAGTGTTTAGTGATTCACTGACTTCTGCAGGCCTAAAGCCAGTAGTCTGATCATCTACTTAGAGGATAACAATACCCAATGTAGCATCTATGGGGGATCTCCTTCTGAAGTGGCGGCTATTGTTAATTCTCTATTATCTTGTTTTGAAATCCTGTATCATTCTCATTGTTTTGTTTTATTAGGTTTTATTCTTTTTTACTTTGTTTGATTTTGTTGTGTCTGATAATATGGGCAGCTATTTCGAGGACAACAAGATATATTATGGTAGCCATTTTGGATTTACTATTGTCTTGTTTTGAAGTCCTGTATTGCGTTTATTGTTTTGTTTTTATTGGTTCTATTCTGTTTCTGTTTTTTTTTTTTTTTTTTTTTTTTTTCCATTTCAGTATGTCTGAAGGTCTGGGCAGCTATTTGGAAGACAACAAGCAGCATTAATGGTAACCACTGTTGATTTCCTATTATCGTGTTTTGAAATCCTGTGTCACTTATACTGTCTTGTTTTAATCGGCTTTATTCTGTTTTAATTTGCTTGGTTTTATTCTAAAATAAAGTTAAAAATAAAAGAAAAAAAGAAAAACAAAATAGAAAAGACACAGGAATGCCTGGTGTACAGCTATAATTAAATACGAAGTGTTATTTTTATAAGTATCTACGAAATTTTGCTAAGCAATAATATAAAATGTTAAATAACATTATGAATTAAAAAATAATTTCCTCATGGCTATTCCCTTTAAATGTTACTGCCTTACACATCATAACCTTTTTCCAGATCCCTTACCTGCAGCCAGAGAAGCACAACACTGCTCCTTTTCTTTTGTGATCTCATTTACCCTGTGTGGCACATCCCAAAGTGAAGGAGACAGAAGGGGCAGACAAGGGAATTTTCCTACTCCACACATCTGAACTGACCCCAATGAAAGGTGTTTTACAAATGTTGAACCATTCTGAACAAAGCTGTAACAAAAGTGACGGAATTAAAATTATTATTCTAGAAATACAAAACTTTTTAGCACTTTTTATTATTTTTGGGTTTTTCCCTTCAAATTTCTCTATACAAATATGTGAAAATTTAGCAATATAGTTTAAACCAAAAGTTGAATTTGACAAGATTTCGAAACTGCTTTCATGTCCTCATTATTTCAGCTAGCTTTAAGCTCAAAGCCTGTTATAAAACAAATGATAGGGCTGAAATTTCATTTTTTCTGAAATGATACCCAAATCAATTTAGTGGCTCCCACAGGTACACTTCAATTTGTGGTTTCATTTTAGGAAATTTCATCACAAAAGGCAATTCTGATTAATAAAAATAGCAAAATAAATTCTCTTTTAAATGAAAATAAAAATACTTCCAGGCAGCTGAGACAGGAGGGCTGCTGTGAGTTGAAGACCAGCCTGGGCTACCCAGTGAATTCAAGGAGAGGCTGACTACAGAGTGAGAACTTGTCTCAAACAAACAATAAAGAAAAAAAGCTAAGAAAAGAACAAAACTCTATATGTATATATTATAAAATTCTTATCAATTAAGTTTTCTTTTCTTTGGTACCAGGAATCAAACTCAAGACCTTTTGCTTGCCAGGTAGGCACTGTGCTACCGAGCTCTATCGTAGGCCTTCTCAGTTAACTTTAACAAATTAGTGAATAAACAGGAACAAGTGATATAAAACAACTTTTTTTTTTTTGGTGACAATGTCTCCTATGTAGCGCAGAGTGGCCTCAATCTCACAGTGATCCTCTTGCCTCAGCTTCCCAAGTGCTGAGATTACAGGCATGTGCCACCATGTTTTACTGGTTTTATGGAATTGATTTTTTCCCTCACTTTTAGAGACAGGATCTTGTCATATACGTCAGGCTAGTCTCAAATGTGCTAAGGAGCACAAGCTGGTCTCAAACTCGCTGGCCTTGAACTGGAGATCCTGTTGCCTCAGCCCCCAAGTACCAGGATTACAAATATGCACGATATACCCAGCTTTGGAACAGATTTTTTTTTTTAATCGGTACCGGGGATTGAACAACTCACAACTGCCTGCTTGTAAGGCAGGCACTTAAGCTGCTGAGCTAAATCCCCAGCCCCGGAACAGATTTTTAATATGTAAATTTGTTTTAGTATGCTCCAGAATAGAGGATACTAATAAACCTATGATTTAAAAACTTTTTAAATCTACAATCTGTGACAATTCTTCATGCTCTGGTCTTTTAAGAGTATGTATAAAGTAACTCAGTACTAATTTTCTATATAAACATGCCTATTTACTTAAGCTTTTTTGGATATACCTTGACATCTGCTTCCATGCTATATCCAGAAGAGTGGTATATACACCAATTAATATTGCATCAAAATAACATGGGATAAGATATCGTGGAATCTGCTTCAGGTAGAAGAACATAGCCTGTAACCATTTGCCGACCTGTTACAAAAATAATTTTAAAACTTAATTTGGTGTGTCTACAGTCTAGGGATATTTTAAGAGGTGAATCTAAACATGTAACTTTTAACAAAATTTTTATTTATTTGAACTGAAAGGTGATATAAGGAAGAAAATGGTTCAAAAAACACATAACTATTACACAAATATAGTTCTTACAGTGGTCTTAGTTACTTGGATTAGAATATAGCTCTACTTACTTCAGCAATATTTCCTGATCGTGAAATAAGCCGGCCACTGACATAGTCAATCATCCAATCTCCGGATCTCAAATTATCACAAAAAGGATGCCCCAAATCATTCTTTGGTCTAATTTCTGCCAATACAGACATTAATCCTGAAAATGCAAAGATAAAGCATGCTACCTTATTGGCAGTCAGTGATCCCATTACTTCCCAAGATCAAGGCTGTGACAGTCTAACGATTTGGGGTGAACACCGAGGCACAAGGGCCTCCGAGTCCACAGTGACAGGTATCAGGGTTGGAGATAAGTGTGGGAGTACTGGTTTGAGCCAGGACACGAAGACATCCTTTTTCTTTTTTATCGGTACCGGGGATCGAACTCATGACCACCTGCTTGCCAGGTAGGTGCTTATGCCGCTGAGCTAAATCCCCAGCCCCACAAAGACATCCTTAAGAGGACTCTGCCAAAGAGCCAGAACTTCTGGCACTAGTTTTATTTTTATTTATTTGCATTTTAATGTTATAATACATTCCAAGGCAGCTGGTGCAGCTTTTCTGCCTTAAGATATTAAGAAGAAAAAATATTTTTCAGCCTGTATCTTTTCATGTTAAAAATTCATTACTATTTAAGCAAGTCATACAAATATGAGAGCAACAATCTGTGTAATGATATCCAACTTTTCACAAAAACTACTGGACATAAATGGACAGGTGGACACTAATACAACCTACTGTGTTGTACTGTATTAGACCTTAACACTCTATTGTTATAATTAGTTCAATCACACAAAAAATTAATAAAGAAATATCAGTTAGGGGCTGGGGATTTAGCTCAGCGGCATAAGTGCCTGCCTTGCAAGCAGGCAGTCGTGAGTTTGATCCCTGGTACCAATAAAAAAGAAAAAGACCAAAAAAAAAAAAAAAGAAAAAAGAAATATCAGTTAAAAAATTAACAAAGCAGGAGCTGGAGATTTAGCTCAGTGGCATAAGCGCCTGCCTTGCAAGCAAGCAGTCGTGAGTTTGATCCCCGGTACCGATAAAAAGGAAAAAGACAAAAAAAAAAAAAAAAATTAAAGCAATAACAGCATTGATCAAATGGACTTAACAGATAGCTACAGAGAATGTCATTAAATGACAACAGAATACACAATTTTCTCAGTAGCACATGGAACTCATTCCAAAATAGACCACATTTTAGATCATAAAGAATATCTAAATAAATACAAAAGAATTTAAATAATCTTCTGCATATTATTAAATCATAACAGAATAAAGCTAAAAATCAATAGGAAAATAAACCACAGAAATTACATGCCAACACACGAAGATCAAAGAGTACATTACTATATAATCAATACATCACAGAAGAAATCAGGGATGAAGTAAAGAAGCTTCTAGAATCAAATGGCAAAGGAAGCACAACATGCCAAAATGTATGGGACACAATGAATGTAACACCAAGAAGGGAGTTTATAGTTGTGAGTATATACAATAAAAGAAGTGAGCAATCCCAAGTAACTTAATGATGCATTTTAAGTTCCTAGAAAAACAAGAACAATCTAAACTTGAAGTTATTATTATTTTTTGGCACTCAGAATTTAATGTAGGACCTTGCACTTACCAGGCCTTCACTGAGTTATATTCCCAGCTCTAAACTTGAAATTAATAGAAGGATAGTTCTGAATAGTTTCCCTAGTGTAGGAAATGAATCAAATATATAAAACTACATAACCAGGATTCCCCATTATATGGCCTTGAAACCTTATAAAATTTTCACGCATTAATTGGAATGGCTTTATTCTGGGCTGTTTGATATCATGGCCGGTGAGGCAATGAACAGCCACTTTGAAGAAAATAAGACATAATAACAGTTAGTGCAGATTCAATAACATCTTGTCTTAAAGCCACACCAAACTATGGTTCTTCTGTCTCCAATGATTTTACCATGTTGTAACTTGCTGGATTTTATCGTATGTGGTAGTATAAACAAAAATTGTTATAGGCAAAGGGATAATATTGAAACCATTGATCATTTTTTCTGTTAGCTGATTCTAAATACTCTACAATGTTTTCATCCACTTGAATGGTGTTACACAGTCTTGATATGTTTGATGCTATAGCATATGAAGTTATATTAAAATATTTCAAAGAAAAAGACACTATGGTAACTACTATTAAGTCGGGTTATTTGGTGGTGAAGCACTAGGTTGCTGAAAGTGTTATGCTTTAACCTATATTGTTATGTTGTTATGCCCCCTTTTATCTCATCCTCTTCCTTATTCATTAAAAAATTATTTAATTTTTTTTAAAAAAATATATCAACCAATAAAAAATGCTCCTGGATCTGTAGGGAAAAAGAAACCCTTTACAACTGTTGGTTAGAGAGTAGATTAGTACAAACACTGTGGAAATCAGTGTGGAGATTCCTCAAAAAATTAGGATTAGAGGTCCCATTCAACCCAGGTATTCCCCTTCTGTGTATCTTCCCAGAAGGATTGAAAAACATCACACCACAGTGACATATGTGAAACCATAAGGTTCAAAATATACAATAGTCACTGTGAAATGGGAGGAAACTGTTCAATAAAAAGAAGAAACTAAGATAGGGGAAAAGAGAAAGGATAGAAGGGAAAAGAAAAAAATGCAAGTTAGTTATACCATTAGTGTCACTTAGTTCACTGAATAGGAAAGGTTGTGCTAATATTGATTGAAGAAATTTTTATGCCCATATTTTGTACTTGAGTGACTAAAGATAATGATGTGTAATTTATCAACAATTGTTACTTTTTCATTATTTTGTTGTGAAAATTTGTTTTACCTTTTCTTCTTAATATTGACAAATAAAGTAATTTATAAAAAAAAAGGAAAAAAAATAAATTAATAGAAGGAAATAAATTTTAGGGACCTGAGTGGAAATTAATGAAATTAAGACTTAAAAAAATACAAACTATCAATGAATCAAGAGTTGGCTAGTTGATAGGATAAACAAGATTGACAAATCACAGGCCAAACTTACCAAAAAAAAAAAAAGAGAGAAAAGAAAAAACTTTGATCAATAGAATCAGAAATACAAAAGTCTAAATCAAAATGGATCCCACCAGAATCTAGAGGTTTATAAAGAACAACGTCAAAAACTAATACTCTAATGCACTGGAGAACCTAGATGAAATGGAGAAATTCCTAGATATATATGAATTATCAAAACTGAACCAAGAAGATAAAAAAAAACTCTGAACAGATGAATAATAGGAAACAAAATACAGACAGTAATAAAAACTCTACCAAAAAGAAAAGCCCAGGAAATGATGGATTTGCCATAGAATTCCAGCAGAACTTGATTCAAGATCTAATGCCAATATTCAAACTCTTCAAGGAAGGAAGTGCATACTACCAAACTAATTCTTAGAAGCTAATATTACCATGGTACACAAAATTGGAGAGAGATTTAACAAAAAAAAGGTTAACTCCAGGCAATCTCCTTAATGAATTCCCATGCAAAAATCCTCAACAAGATACTGGCAAGTAGAATGCAATGAATCATCAAAAAGATTAAACATCGGGGACCAAGTTGGCTTCATCCTAGGAATACAAGAATGGTTCAACATACACAAATCAATAAATGTGGTGTACCACATAAACATAATTTAGGACAAAAACCACATCATCATCATTTCCATAGATGCAAAAAAAAGCCTTTGACAAAATCTCATACTGACTCATGATAAAAACTGAAAAAAATAGATATAGAAGGATACTATCTCAACCTGATCAAAACTTTTATAAGAAATCTACTGTCAATATTATATTAAATGGCGGGGGGAGCTGAAAGCTTTCTCTCTAAAATCAGGAATAAGAGAAGAATATCCACTATTACTACTCTTGTTCAACACGGTCCTAAAAATATTAAACAGCGCAATCTGGCAATAGGATTAGATAAAACAGATATGTAGAGGAATGAAAGAAGTCAAATTACCACCATTTGCAGGTGACATAATCCTCTACATAGAAAACCTTACAATTAATAATCAAATTCAGCATTTTAGCAGGACACAAAACCAATATATAGAAATTAAAAGTGTTCTTACACACCCCGATAATGAACTTACTGGGAAAGAAATTAGAAAAGTACTACCATTTACAATGGCATCAAGAGAAATCAAACACTCAGGCATTAACCCACCAAAGAAGTGAAAAACCTCTACAATGAAAACTGTTAAGAAGCGTGATCTAAGAGGACAACATAGAATTGAAAGATATCATCTGTTCTTGAATAGGCAGAACCTGTGCTTTTACCATACTTCTGAAACTAACATACAGATTTAATGCAATTCCAACAAAATACCAGCAGTGATCCTCACAGAACTAGCAAATTCATACAGATCCACAAGAGACCAAGAGGGTTGGAGATGTAGCTTAGTGGCAGTGTCAAGCAGGAGGCTCTGAGTTCAATTTCCAATACCAAAAAGAAAAAAAAATCCAAACAAACAAAAAAACAAAACAAAAACCCACAAAAAAACTATTAACCAGAAAAGACTTAAGAGTAGCAAAACCAATCCTGAGAAACAAGAGTGAAGCGAGGCAGCATCACGGTCCCAGATTTTGAGTTATATTACAAAGCTACTGTGATAAAAGCAGCATGGTATTGGCAAAAAACCCAAACAACAACAAAAAAAAAATCAGACATATGATCAATGGAATAGAACAGAGGATGCAGAAACATCGGGCACAGTCAGTTATCCATTTTTAATTTCTTTCTTTTTTTCCTTTTTTTTTCTTTCTTTTCTTTTTTTTTCCGGTCCTGGGGATTGATATTTTTTAACACTCAGTTACGTTACCTTTAACAAAGGGGCCAAATACCTCTGGTAGAGGAAACATAGCCTTTTATTTTTTTTTTACTTTTTTTTGTTTGGTACTGCAATCAAACTCAGGATCTTGAATTGGCCAGGCAGGTGCTGTGTCTTTGAGCTCAATCACTGGCCCAAGATAGCCTCTTTTAACAATGTTTAAAAAAAACTGGCTGCAGAAGTCATGCTGGCCAGGGAAGCAGCCAGCATGGTAGCCATTGTTGATTTTGTATTATCTTGTTTTGCAGTTCTGTTTTCCTTTCATTGTTTTGTTTTGATTGGCTTTTTCTGTTGTACCCTGTTTGGTTTATTCTCTTTAAAATAAAAATAAATAAATAAATAAATAAATAAATAAATAAAATAATAAAACTGACTATCCACATGCAGCAGACTGAGTCTAGACCCACATGTCTCAGCATGCTTTAACCTAAAATCAAAATGGATCAAAGATCTAAATGTCAAAAAAAATCTAAATGTCAAGCAGAAACAATGTGCTGGAAGATAAAATAGGTAAAACTCTTATTTTTATCAAGATAGGATTGTGCTATGCAGTTCAGGCTGGTCTTGCACTCACTGCATAGCCCAGGTTGGCCTCAAACTTATGCCAATCTTTCGTTAGCCTCCTGAGTGTTCGCATTATAGGCATTCACCACCATGCCCAGCAAAAATAGGTGAAACTCTTGAAGATACAGATATAGCCAAAGGCTTTCCAAAATGAACCTTAATTGCACAAGAAATAATATCCAGAATCAACAAATGGGATCTTTTTAAAAGCTTCTGCATAGGAAATGAAACAATCAAGAGCATAGAGACAACTTACAGAATAGAAAAAAATGTGCTAGCCATTCACTGAACAGAGGACTAATATCTAAAATATACAAAAATTTAAAAAAACATAGACCCCCTCAAAAGATTCAGTCCAAAAAATGGAAAACTGAAATGAATACACACTACTCAGAAGTATAAATGACTAACAAATATATGAAAAAGTGTTCAACATCTCTGATCATTAGAGAAATGCAACTTAAAAGGACAATGAGGTTCAATCTTACTCCAGAAATAATGAGTATCTTCAAGAAATCAAATAATTACAAATTCTGAGCAAACTGAGGAGAATAAAAGAAACCCTTCCATATTACTAGTAGGAATATTGTATAAACTAGAGCAACCACTATGAAAATTAGTATAGAGATTCATCAGAAAAACAACAGAAATTCCATTCAACCCAGCTATTCTCCTTCCAGGTATTTTCCTGAAAGAGTTAAGGACATTTTATTATAATTATGTATGCATACCCATATTTATAGCAGTGTAGTCTATTAGTAGTTAAATCGTGGAAGCAGCCTCTATGTCCATAAACAGATGAATGAATAAAGAAAGTGTGGTATTTAGGAAAAGAAAGAAAAATCAGCATTTTCCAAGAATTAGCCATGCTTGGTGGCTGGTGAACCAACCATGGGACTTGGTGAACCAACCAAGAAATCAACTAGCCAGCCTTCCTGGTAAGCTGCACAAGCTGTGCGTGCTCCAGGGAGAGAAAAGTCATTTAGCGTGTCCTGTGAGCCTATTGGTGTGTGGGCTGACAATCAAAAACACTGCCCATACCACCTCAGCTCCTGCAAGCAACCGAGGTCAGCCTGAGTTGATAGCAACTAAGGTACATAAAGCAACTAAATGCTTGTATTGTTTGGTTGATTTTGTAGGCCTGGGCCAGCAGTCTGAGTGTCTCTTGGGAGGATGACAGTATGCAGTATAGCGAAATATGGGGTATTCCCTTCTACCTTGTCTTGGAAGTCAAATATTGTTTTCACTTGTTTTGCTTTAGTTTCCATAACCTATCTTTGTCTTTGGTAATCAAACTCAGGACCTTGTGCTTAACAGGTATCTGCTTGTGCCACTGAGCTATATCCTGGATGCCTATAACCTGTCTTACAACTACTCTACATAATGCTGAGTTATATGTTTTCTTTGTATGATAAAACAAATAGAAAAAAAGATCCCAATTAGATGAAAAAGGAAAAGTATTATTACATTTACAAGCTAGTTCCATCTGGATACTAAACAAATATACTGTTTCAGTTTTATAATAAACCAAACTGATGAGATATTAATTAAAGCCAAAGTATATTTAAGAGTTATAAGTGGAAGGACCTTTACACATGACAAGAACTAGTAATTCTAGGCAGCAATTACTAGTGAATACTTTGTGCCACATCCTATATACCTGGATGATTTCATGTGCTTTTTGCAGAAACCCTGTGAGTTAGACAATATTATTTCCATTTCATCAAGGCAGAAATGAGGACACAGAGCACTTATGTTACCCTGCATAAGCCACAATAGGTTGCAGAGTCATAACTTGAACCCAGGCAGACACATTCTAAGCCCATGCTCTTATTTGTATAAAGAAGATAGTATAACACACACACACACACACACACACACACACACACACACACACAAACAAAACAAAACAAATCTCCCAAAACCAACTCAACAATGCTTGCTTACCTTGAAGACCTGCGTATTTAAGGGATGACCAGTTTGGTATGTTGTAACAACCTCCACCATCTTCTTGTTCCTCTGATTCACATCGGTAAAGTATTTGATTTAGCTCAGCCAAAGTCAAGTTAGAGGCAATACTAAGAATTGGAGAATAAGGTAATTGATTAAAAATACTAAAATTTCACTTGTTGTCCATAAAAACAAAAGAAAATCTGTATGAAAATCACAAAATGTCTTTGCAATGTAGGCTTAGGAAATCAGTACTGAAATAAATATATATGTAATACTATAAAAATAAGAATTAAATGCTAGATATTAACTTAAAACTAATGTTACTTTCCTCAAAAAGAAAATAATTAAGTGCCAAATTGTTTTGCTTAAACATGTACTAGAGCCAGGTGTGGTGGTTCACACCTGTAATCACAGCACTCTGGAGGCTGAAGCAGGAGGTCCATGGTGAATTCGAGGCCAGCCTGGGCTACACAGTGAGTTCAAGGCCAGCCTGGACTACATAGTGAGCCCCTGTTTCCAAAGAAAAAAAAGTTCTGGAAAAATCTATTATATCCCATATCTTACAAATTTGTTTTCTGAATCTCCCTAATTCATATTTTTTCCTCCTTTATACTCTCCTATGTACAATGTCAAGAACTTTTTATGTTAAACTTAAAATAGTTACCAAAGACTAGTAAAGGGATCGCGATTCCTATAATCCTGACACTCAGGAGACTGAGGCAAGAGGTCTGCTAGAAGTTCAAGGCCTGCCTGGGCTACACAGCAGTGAGTTCAAGGTCAGCCTGAACTACATAGCAAGACCCCGACAAAAAATGTCAAAAAGTGCTAAGGGGTATGGTGTATGCAGCTAATTCTCAAATAATTCAGAAAAACTGTATGTGTGTATACAGGCAGGCTTTTATGTATCCGTATCTTAGAGAAAGAGTCAACCGCATGAAAGTGCATCCAAAAATGATAAAGCAACAGAGCAAAATGTTAACACCAATGGACACTGACACTGCTGGCCTTTGCACCAAACCGAGTACCAAGGGAAAAAAGGATCCTCCAAACCGCTTAAATGGTAAAAGTTAAATACATAAAAAACCGCTTCAATCAGGCGAGTAGTAACTCACCAATTCTTTACATGGCAAACCTCTACAAAACAAGCCATACTTACGAAGCAAATGGGATTTTCAAAATAGGATCCGAGTTGTCAACAGCAAGGCTTCCAGATTTAAAGTGCGGACTGAACTGTGTCAGATGGTTCCGAAGAATTCCAACAGCAACTTGTGCATGTGGATCAAGACTAACTCTAAATAACATTAATAAAAGGTAGTTGATTTTAAGGAGTTAAAAAAAGAATAAAAAAAATTTTTTTTAAAAATAATTTATTCAAAGTTAACAAGACATGCAAACTATTTTACATACAAGTACAGCCATCAGTTTGAATGCTAATTAACATACCTGAATACGATAACACTTCCTGGAGACAAGTTTTCAAATTCTATTTCTTGAATATATTCATTTGGACCTTTTGTGGCAATTCCAGCTTGTTTTACAATTTTACTTTCTTTGAGCTTGGGAAAAAAATGTGTAAAAAGCCATTAAACAAACAATTTTAATGTCATTAAATTATTACTATCTAGTAAACAATACAAACCCCAAATACCTGAATATGTTCCCTAATTTCTACTGTGATGTTTGGCAGCCCGTTGATTGAATGCTCATCCTTTACATATGGTTGTGTGTTTCTCTCAACAGTTCTAGCTTCAAGAACAACCTCTTCAATTTTGCCTAGAAACATATAAAATTTTTTTTAAAAAGATTATTCCTAGTACATACTCAAAACCTACACAAGGATGGTGTGGTGGTGCATGACTCTAAGCCCAGCACGCAGGAGGCGAAGGCACAACAACTGCTGGGAATGTGAGGCCAGCCTGAGCTACGAAGTGAGTTTAAGATCAGCCTGAACTGGATAGTGAAACCTTGTCTCAAAAAGACCAAAAAAACAGAAACAACAAAAACAAACAAAAAAACCCTTTAAGTAAGAGCCCATTAAGCATACAAAAGCATGCTAGAAATTCAATAGCAACCAAACAAAATATGAAACAGTAAAAATAATAATTTTATGATTGACAAATGACAGTATTTTATGAATGATCAGTGACAATGATGTAATATTGAAAAGTGTCTGAGTCTCGTAAAGGTAATTATGGCTGCTGAGAATGTGTAGCTCAGTGGTAGAGCAAGTATTTTTAGCAAATGTGAGGCTATGAGTTCAACCCCCAGTACTGAAAAATAGAAAATTAACATTAGTAAAGATGAGACAAAAGTTAGGCATGATGGCACACACCACTAATCCCAGCACTCAGGAGGCTGAGGCATGAAGACTGTTGCGAGTTCGAGACCAGCTAGGGCTTAAAGTGAGCTTAAGGCCAGCCTAAATTGCATAGTGAGACCCTGTCTCAAAAAGACAAAAAAAAAAAAAAAAAAAAAAAAAAAAAAAAAAAAAGAAAAAGAAAAAGATCATGCAAAATCACCGAATATAAATTTTTGAATACTGAAGCAAATATTTAATCCTAAAACTACTTAGGTTGATAATTTTTAAAAACTAGAGTTGTTTATATTTAGCTACTAGCAACAAACCCAAAATATGATTTTTATGGGAATCTTTATTCACTAAGTCAAAAAACTTGGAAGTTGCTGTTTGCACAGGAGCAAGGTATGTTTTACTATAGCATCTATACTAGTAAGAAAACATACACATTTAGCAAAAAAGTAACAATAAGGACCTATCTCAGGGACATATCTTTTTCCTTTTTCTTTTCTTTCTATCTTTTTTTTCCCTACCAAAGTGCAGGTATTTGTATTCTCCATATTTTTGGAGAAATTATCTTCACAATGATTATAGGTCTGTATTTTTTCACTTAAGAAACGAACCGCATTCAAAACGTTTAGCTTCACCACGGTCATGAAGCCTGATCTCCGATGGGCTGTATCAGAGGCACAAAACCTAGAGTGTGGGTGCTCACGCTGAGGTGTGCGTTTCATGACTTGAATTACAAAACGTGGGAATTTTGTGTGTGTGCTTGGAATCGAACTCACGATCTCACATTTGTCAGGCAGTCAGGGACACACTTTATAATTAATTTTTCTTTTTTTGAGAGAGGGTCCCCCTGTGTAGGTCAGGATGGCCTTGAACTCACTACATAAGGCAGCCTGGTCCTGAACTCATGAAAATCCTCCTGCCTCATATTCCTGAGTGCTAGGATTATAGGTGTGCACCACCATGCCTGGCCATATTTTATAAATCAGATGTTGAAAAAGACACATAACTATAATTGTTGTATGTTTATTTTCTATTTAATTTTTGTGTGGGTACTTGGAATCAAACTCAGGACCTCATACTTGCCAGGCAGGACTGAGTTCGATCTCTGGCCTGATTGATTTATGTTTAGAAGACAGAGATCACTGAGTATTTTTAGACTTTTCAAAGGAGAGAGAACTTTAGTCCTTGAAGGAGATAAACAATTTATGTTCAAAGTACAAATACAATTTATGGACAAGTATTTGGGGAAGAGTGAAAATATACATTAGGCTGAAACAGTGGAGTGGCATAAGGTTAGGATGGTAGATGAGAATGGTTAAGAAGAGTCTTAAGTATTAGGACTATTTTCCACTTGTGTTTACATTAAACAATGCACACTTACACACATACACTCATGTGTATACATATGTATATACAGAAATATTTATACAGCGTAAAAGATAAAAAAAAAATAGGGGTGTGCCAGAGATTTAGCTCAGTGGCACAAGTGCCAGTGTGACAAGCACGAGGTCATGAGTTCAATCTCCGGTACCTATCCCCTTAGAAAAAACAATAGGGGTTGGGGATGTAGCTCAGTAGTAGATCTAATGCCTTGCACATAAGGCCCTGGGTTCAATCCTCAGTACAACCAAAAAAAAAAAAAGCATTCTGGGGCTATAGCTCAGCAGCACAGCACCTGCCTGGTAAACATGAAGCCCTGAGTTTGATTCCCAGTACCAAAAAAGAAGAAGAAGAAACAAAAAGAAAAAATACATGTCCACTATATATCTGTAAGTAAAAGGAATACTATATACTAAGATGTAAACAGAAATATTTCAAATATTCAAAAATGCTAACTTTGAGACTATTTCTCTTCACATTTTGTCCCATAACAGTAAAAATATAAATTTTTTTTTATATTTCTAATTCCTCCTCTCAAAAAATTTCTAATTCCTCCTCTCAAAGACATCCACACTTGCACTGTCACATAACATATAATGACAATTCAATATAACATTATGGTATCTGCATAATTTAACAGTAACAAGTTTTAGGTTGCATACCAGGGATGCACATCTGAGGTACTTCCTTGCTGTAAAACGAAGTTTTGGGATTCCTGAAAGCAGTTCTAGACACAGCCACAACGGACTGATGGATACTAGGTGAATGTCTGGTCACTGCCACTATGTCTTCATCAACTTGATCTACATATACCTGAGAAACAGAAAGAGCAACTAGGTCAGTACTCAACCTGCAAAGTCTTTTTCTGGCAACTTTCAGGAAGAAATTTAGAAGATTCAGGTCTCTTGCCTGAATAAAACCTTTGGCTCCGAGCTCTTGATGAAGTTTATTGATAGCACATCTGGCTGCAATAATTCCACTCTGGAAATTAACATCACCCACATTTGATGGCAATGCTCCAGGATTCCACTTAGTGTAAAACCGTTCTTCAGAAACCACTGATATCTGGGGAAAGGTCAAACTTGGTCATAAACATATTTTAATTACAATGAGAAATTTTGATAAAAAGGCTTAAAACTAGAAGCCACTGGATTTTAGAAAGTAACACACAAACCTGATGAGGCACTAATTCATCATAGCCTCGTGTACTTCCACTAGCACAAGATGCCATAGACACAATTGTGGTACTTGGAAGAGCATCGTAGGCTGATCTATGCTAGAAAACAAAAGCAAAGCAAGGGTGTACTTTCTTTCAAATGCAAAGTGTCATTTTACAATATAATGAAGTATAAAGATAATTACATAAACACATTCTATGAGGTCAGCACATTAATTTTTAAGTACATTAATTTTTTAAACAGAATATTCTAAAATCTAGGTATTATAATCATTTATAAATCTGATATGCTATTTTGAAGTCTGTGAATTTTTTGCCACAAAGTATCAGAACTAAATACCATACAGTGAAACAGGTAAACACAAGAAATACACTGATGCTTACCACAATAGGACACTCGTTATCATGGGTAATATCCATAAACAGGGCATGTGCGATAGCTGGCATTAAAGGCCTCAGACAGGGCTGAACAAAGGATCCAACCGGTTCTCCACCATATCGGTAAACTAATCTGCCCTCTTCATGACTATTATATGCACTCATCGCCTCTGCAGAGTATTATAGAATATTTTAACAATCTCCATCACTTATGCCCAGGAAGAAATTAGAATTCTTATCATGACTAATTTTTAAAATAACATGAAATATTATACAGAATAGAATGTCTTTAAGTGATTACACAAATATCAACCAGTTTTAGTGATCTAGGAGGCCCTCCTGTAACTTAACAGTAGAAACAGTTCAAGTAGGAAATATTTATTGAGAGGTTGCATATAAGAAAATCTATGGGAAAATATCTAGCAATTGTGCCTGAAGTTCAGATCTGCATATTTCAAACAACAAAAAAATGGTTTTGTGAGTTATAAATTCATCCCACTGCCTGGCCAGCGCAAGGTCCTGAGTTCAGTTTCTGATACCCATCCCGCAAATGAATAAATCAATTCATCCCACTAGTTTTTAACTTGAAATGAAATAACATATCTCAAAGTAGACACTTTTACTGACAAAAAGAGTTAGATAAGAAATTTCATATAGACTATTTAAATGAACACTTAAAGTTACTAAGCATTTCATGTAAAGCTCTTAAAAGTCTTTTAATCCACTTAGACAGACTGTAAAATTTTAGATGGGAAATATACTTCAATTGGCCTACCTCTTATTAAGGAACTAATGCCCAGTCTAGTGACAAAGATATTGTCCAGCTCTTCACTTCCTGTGAATAGTTCAGCTACTACATATAAATTGGGTTGTAATTTCCTAGCAGCATCCAACATGTACTGCAAGAAGCACAGTCACAAATGTAAAAGAAAAAGAAAAGCAAGATGGGTTGGAAGAGAGGAGGCAAGACTAGGTGGGGATTTGACATAAGATGTACAGCAAGACAGAGTAGACATTCAAAAAGAATTTCCAAATAAATTTTGTTTTCACATGTAAGAAAACACCAAGCAGACCGATACGTGGAGGAATTAGAGAATTTATATAGAGTAAAACAGTTAAAAGGAAGATAAGATTTTGTAAAAGATATAGAGACACAAAGGAGAAAAAAAGGAAAAAGAAAATATTAGTGTCTTTAAAAAAATGTAACAGCTAACATTGCAAATCTGTCAATCTTTCCTCCTATTTTTGGCTTATTTTTAATATTCAGTAGTCAGACTGTCAATTTCTAGTTGTTTTATTAAGCTTATCACTACTGATAAATTTCGTTATGGCAAATTATTTGACCATTGCAAAAATTAGGTCTGAAAAAAAAAATTAGGTCTGACTGGCTAAAATGAAGCCTTAGATGATAATTCTCAAACTCTTAACATCTTACAATTTCTACTTGCATGATTTGTTTTACATTGGTGCTATTTAGCTGACAAAGAGTATTGATTTATAATCAGAAATCAAATTCCAGAATTTTTTTCACAATATTTTCACAAAAGTTAACAAATACCTGAAATTCTATTAATAAACAAGTAGAATCCCAGAGGATTCTGTAATTTTAAATTATGCAGATTAAGTGCTAACATTCAGTCTTACCATAATGTAATATCAATGTATACATATTTGCTGCTGCTAAAGGCAAAAACGTAAAAAAAAAAAAAAAAAAAAACCACTGTCACTTTTGGAGCTAAACAATGCTCTACTAGTGTAACTAATGTTTACTAAGTCCCTCCAAATCATATCCATTTTTTTTATTTAGAGAATACTTTATTAGTTTCTGCAATCAAACCCACGTAGATAAGACCTTACGTATTTAATATAGTGCATTACCCCTGTACAAATGAAAAAAAATTAAGTTTAACGTTTCTAGACCAATATGGCTGTTAATTTCTGTATCAAATCCATTTTTAATCCTACAACTTGAAACATATACATTATACTTGTATAAAAATGATAGAAACTGATATTTTTCAAATAAGCACATATTTCCAAAGAATACCAAATTATAAACTAGGAAGCTATCGATCCTCTTAGAATGAAAATTTTAAGTGCTTATTTACAAAGCTATATGAGGTAGGAGATAATTTTATAAATACTGGCATTGTTAAAAAAAATGTTAGCACTGCTTATAAGCAGCTTGTAAAGGTCCAAAGGTGAATATGCAATAGTTGTATTTATATTTTTAAATAAATAATTACTAAAAATTGAATCAGTGAGGCTAAAACAAGCCTTGATGTGCCACAATATGAGAGTTTAAATAATCATTGGTGGGCCTGCAGCAAAATGTTTCCTGGCAATGAAACAGGTAGGGAAGGGCTGAGAGCATAGCTCAGCTCTACCATGTTTGAGGCCCTGGTTTGATTCCCAGAATCTCTTCCCTTCAAACTCAGTATATATGGAAAACTACTCAACTTTACATTGGCTTTAAGTATATATTGAGAGCAACCTAAAAAAAGGCAAATATTTTATTATCAATAGGCAATATACTTTTGATATATATTATGATCACAGTTTTGATATATATGTATATAAAATGATCAACTTTCCAAAACTGAAGTTTAAAAACTTGTTAAATGTTTTATCGCTCAGTTTTCCATAACAACTGTATTCAAATAGTTAGAATTAGGCAAATTATGCAAAAGTGTTAAATACGCCAGAATCCAAACACCAGAATGAAACATGTATCCACAGTTACTTAATTAAGGAAAGTTATGAAAAAATGTTCTTCTTATCATTGTTATTCTTAATGTAGAAAATTGCTTTTCTGTACCTCAGCCACATGAATAGGTGTTGAGTGGCAGTTATCAAGACGTACACCCTGGAAATAAGTCGCAGTGATTTCAGTGTATTTTTTCATGTGTGCCCATAGGTAAGGACAATCCTCTGGCTTATTTCCGTAGCGCAATTTAACACTGTCGCCCCAGCATATAAGTTCTCGCCTTAAGTAAACATCTGAACCTGTTAAGAAAAAAGGCTTCCTTTCAATGGTTCAGGAAATAGAATAAAAATAATTACCTCAAGGAAACATTATCATTTGTATTTCATTTAAAAATTTTTTTCATTAGAACATGCTTGTAGTACATGTAGATTATACTTATTGTGGAGTGTTGGTACATATTCATAACACATTTTAATTCTTTTTCCTTTCCCTCCATCTCTAGAGCTTCCCATTTACAAAAGATCTATTAAAAAACTTTTTTTTTAAAAGATAGGGTTTTGCTAAGTAGCTCAGACTGGCCTTGAACTCAGTGATTCTCCTGCCTCAGTATCCAGAGTGCTAGAGTGAATCATTTCTACCATACATGATATCTGGTTAAAATTATACCTAAAATGGTACGAGACAAAATCATATTTATTTACTTATTTATTGGTATTGGAATCAAACTCAAAAATTTAAAATTAATACAGTATTAATTTATATCTCATACTGTTTTGTAAAAATTCTAGCTTACGATTTCTTCAAAAAACTGTGGGCTTAATTTCAAAAATTCAAGTTGCTCCTTATGCAAAAATAGTAAAAGTAATATCACAGGCTCTTAAAAACTATAGTTTTACCAAAAACATGGAAAGCTCTCTCTCTACGTTTCTATTCTTTTTTGAGAATAATTTACATTAAATCTGGCATATGACAGAATGAATTGTTTCATTTAGAATGGCTAGGAGAGGGCAGATATACTTAAACCCAAACTTATATTTTTATAAGAACACAAGAATTCTGATTTAATTTTAATGTTATTACGGTAAATTTGCAGTTCTGAAATGTTGAAAAGCACAAGCACACCCCTACATCTTTTGCAAAGTATTTCCTAACAATGAAACAGTAGTAGAGAAAAAGATGCTAAGAGTAAGTGACAGGAACCTAGAAACAAATATTTCTAGTTTGACTGCCTTTCAAATACTTTAGAATGGATGAGTGAAAATTTCTCATGATAACTGTAACAGCAATGTTTTCAAACTTTTTTTTTAATCTTCCATTTCTATTTTGCATTTATTTATTTATTTATTTTTAATCTTTTTATCAGTACCGGAGATCGAACTCACAACTGCCTGCTTGCAAGGCAGGTGCTTATGCTGCTGAGGTAAATCCCCAGCCCCTGTATTCAAACTTTTAAAAAGTGCAATAAAATAGTACTTTGCCCAAATAATAGCTCATATAGAGCTGCAAAATATAAATTAAACATGTAGTGTGAGAAGCTGAAAGAAAAAACATATGTATATAAAAAAAGTTAAGATAAAAATAAATACATAAAAGCCCTTATTGGTGGGGAGGAGTTAAGACAGTCTTGTCATATAATTGAGGTTGACCATCAATGTGTAGCAATCTTCTGGCCACAGTTTCCCAAGTACTGGGAACACAGGTATACATCACCACGCCCAGCTCAAAAGGTACTCAGTTTAAGGAAACAAGGTAGATAGGAAAAGGCCAGAAAAAGATGTAAGTATCATCCTGTTAGTCAACTTCTTTTTTTCTGTCAAATATTAATTTATACTTCATACCTATTTTGCAAATATTCTAGTTTATAGTCTGTTTTTAACATGTGGGCCCATACAAGAATTTAAATTGCTTCTTAAGGAGAAATGAGTAAATATAATTGGTTCTTGAAAGCAATAGTACTGCTCAAACTAGTTTTCTTTCTTGTTTCTCTCAAACTAATGCACCGCTGATGCTTGTAGTGAAACAGTGGAGAAATCAGCCTTGCTGGGTAAAGATCCCAGTAGAACAGATCATATTTTGAACTTTCCAGGAATGTTTCTTTGCCTTTTAACAGAGACGTCAACAATGATGTACCTGGCTCAGCAAAGTTTCGAAGAGGGTCATCTCCCATCACCCATCCATTATGTGCCATGAAGAAACAAGCTTTATCAGGGAGGTGCATCATGGACTCTTCTGTGGATAAGTCCATTTCTTGGAATGGGAAAGTAAAATACCTAGAGATATAATGAAATATTAAATTCACACAGAGAGACTCCTTGGAGAGAACCTGGATTTGCAATATTAAAAACTAAAACTTTTCCCTAATGAGTAGAATAAATAAAATTAGCTTGATACCATTTCCAGAATATAAAACTCAAATATGAAGACAGGCTTTTTGAGTTAATTTAGTAGGACTTGAAGCGTGGAGAGTTAAAACTGTACCAAAAACAGCTAACTTTTAAAATAGTTTTTAAAACATAAATTATAAGAAAAATTGCTTGCGATACTTTTGTTGTTTTGCAAAGGCTTTTATCATCCTCTAATTGTCCAACTTATGCTGCACATTATTTCAAGTAAGAAGCTAGATGCTCGCTCAATTTGGTTAACACTGAAATACTACTAGTAGGTTATGCAGTCTGACTGTTTCTTGCAAAAGATCATGCATGAGAAAATGAATTTCTTGTGTTTGGAGATGGAGCCTTTGGTAAGATTTTGGATCATGAGGGTGGAGCTTTCATGAGTACATTAATGCCTTTCTTCTCTCAAGGGACTGGATTAGCTCTCACAAGCGTGGGTTCACCCAGAGAGAGGCTGCTCTCGGCGCTCATCCATCCCTTCTGTATGCGCTCACTGCCCTTCTACTTTCTATCCTGAGTTGATATAGCACGAGGCCCTTTCCAGAAGCTGAGCGGAGGTGGGCATCATGCTTCTAAGACTTCCCAGCTCCAGAACCCTGAATCAAAATAAATCTTGTTTCTTTACAAATGTTCTAATCTCAGATACTCTAAAGTCCAATGACAGAAAAGACATCTAGGATGCAATCCTCCCAAAACATTAATGTAAATAATATGTATAAATTGGTACATGGTAAAATAATATTTATAATTAAAGATTTGCCTAATACTATTAATTAATACTAAGTATACTTGTGAGTTAAAACTTCTACTTCAAGAAACATCCAGAAATCACATCTTTAAGGAAACATATCAACTTGCAAGATTAAATACAATTTTCCATTTTTAATCATCAGTGAGAAGAAAACAAAAATGAAATACCTGGTAACTAAGGGATGTTTTCTAGTGACAGGTCCTAGTTTAGGACCATGGCCAGCCATTCGTTCATAAAACACATTTCCCAAAAGGCAATTAACTGCCTAGAAAATATTAAATTATGTTATATCATTAACAACAAAAAAGTATTAAGACTCAACGAGAAATAACAGTTTAAAAATAGGTCAAACCTGTTCCTGATGATAGTGTATGAGTTGATATTTCTCTGAATTTAATTCCTCAATTTTCTTACGAAACCAATTACAGCATTCTTCAATTGCGGCTGGTCCATTGCTAGAGCAGACAGAACAATACAAACTTAACTTAGTGGTTTGAAGAAACCTACACTTAAAAACAAGAGCTACAGACTCCTTAAATATAATCATCAAGATCTTGATTATGGCTTAATTATGGCTATTTCAGCTGTAAAAATTTTTACATACATGCATGTAAACAGGACCAGGCACATGAAGCAGGAAGATGTCACGTGCCAAAGTAGCAGAATTATGGATCATTACTTCAATTTCTGTGAAGCATTTTAGTAAGTAACATGAAAGTCATACTAGCCAAAAAGGTACACATGCAATATTATTCTTTATTTTACAGGACAGATATATAACATACTTATGTGGTATGAAAGTTGCCAATGCAATGTTCATATCTATAGTACAGCCAAGGCGTCTATATTCAGGATCCTGAATAATCTTAAGATGTTGTTTTGGATCAGACTTGGTTGTTCTTCTATTTTCTGGAAAAAAAGAAAAAATGATATCTTAAATGCAATATCTACAAGGAAATTATTCAAGCATCCTTTCTATTTCTCCTTTTTTGTTTTATTTTGTTTTTTGAGACAGGGTCTCACTATGTAGTTCAGGCTTGCCTTGAACTCACTACACAGCCCAGGCTGGCCAAAAACTAGTAGTGACCCTCCTGCCTCAGCCTCCTGAGGGCTAGGATTGCAGGCATGTGCCACCAAGCCCACCTCCTTCTCCTCCTTCTTCTCCTGTTATCAACACACACACACACACACACACACACACACACACACACACACAGAGGCATTACACAGAGACAAAATATCATTATAAAAGGAAAATACAGAGATTCCTTCAATTCAATCCTAGTCCTACTTTGCTTTCTCGGTCAGAATTCATTTATTTACTTTTTAGACCGTTTTTAAGGACTTTGATACTAAATGCTTTCTTCTCAGTTATATACCACCAAATATTCTAACCTCAGGAGTTCTGTTTCCTCAGGGACTTCTTCTGTTTCTCAAATAAGTCTTTATCAACAACCTGATTTTCCTTGCATTCTCTGATAGAAGCATCTACCTTTGTTTTCATCTACAACCGTATCATTTACATAATATCAAGAAGCTAAAAAGGAAGGGAATGGTTTGGGAGGAAATTTTCATTCTTTTTCTGGAACTTGCTTCTAATAAATCGGGCGATGGTGCAGGACTGTCTCTACTGGAAGTGATTTTATATTAAACAATTAATTCATTTGGCTTAATTTACATATACTTTGAAATACAAAAACACAAAGTAAAATGGATTCTGAAAATTCATTTTAACCTACAGTAAGGTATAGTTCTTAAGGGAAACAATTATGTGACGCATTATGACACAACCTTTAGATGTTTCTGCTCTGATTCCAGAAATAACACTTTTATAGCATCAAAAATGACCCAAATATTACATAACAGATTTAATTTTTATGTTAACAAAGGGAAAAAAACTTCACATAACAGTAATATTAAATTTCTTAAAACTGATAGGGACAGTCTGATGTAATTCCTTTACCTTGTGTGAGCAGCCTTCTAAATTCCTCAACTGCTCTGTGTTCATGTACTTGGAAAAATTCCCACAGTTTAATCTTTGGGTAAACATCCTCCCAAATTACTTTTCGAATGCACTGCAAAATTTCAATAGTGAAAAAGTATATGATTAAAAAATGTGTGAATATAAATCTTTTCACCAAATACTGTTGCCCATGTTAAAATAAAGATTATAAATAACTTTCAACCACATGCTTAATTTGTACTGTAGAAATTTTGTTACTGAGTTGGTGTGATGGCCCTCTACACATACTTACATTCATGTGGTGATCATTTTCAATCAAAGCAGGGATTCCTTTTTCTCTATATTTCCCTTCTGCAACCTCACAGGAGAAATGCCAAAGTGCTCTGTCTAAAATCCAGGCCGGTTTTAAATGTGGAGAATTCACAAGATTATATGCAGACTCTGGGTGTTCCTGGAGCCATTTACTGTTAGCAGCTTAAACAAAAAGGAAACAGGTATTTTGTGATTAAACTGAATATTTTGTAATTAAAGCTAATATGTGTTCTAAGTTTAAAGGTAAAATAAAATTTTGACATTGACCACTTACTTTCTGTGCACTAATTTCCACATTAACCTTTTATGATACTATCATATGAAAAATTTCTTTGGTTATTGCATCCTACAATCTATTTCACACATTATTTTAAAATGTATCACTGGTTAGAAAATCAAAAGGGGTTGCTTCCAATATCTAGATATTATGAACTGTACTGATATTAATAGACTGATAATAAAGAAAATGTGGTATTTACACACAACTGATTACTATCTGCCATAAAGAAAGATAAATGGGTCATTTATAGAAAATGGAGGCACCTTGAGACCATAATGTTAAGTAAAGTAAATCAGGCACAGGAAATTAAATGTCACATGGTTCCTCTTATAAGAGAAACCCAAAATATAAAGAGCAAAATAAAAGACAGATAATAAGAAGTAGGAAGACAGATCTTTCTCAAATGGGAAGGGGATCACAAAATGAAGGGAAGAGGAGAAAGGAGAAGAAAGGGGATGAAAAAAGCATTAAGATGCGTTATATACAGGAACCAACTCCACATATGAAAGGTAAACAGTATATACCGCAAACATGTACTAACCAAAAAAAAAAAAAAAAAAAGAAAATCCTGATGGAGGAAAAATCAGTTCTTTCACAGGTAATCCCTTTGCATAGTGAAACCTAAGGGTTAATAAAATATGTGCTTAGATAAGACACAAAAATGAAGCTAAGAAATTGCTAGAAGGAATTCACTAAAGGAATAAGGATGAAGCTGACATCTTATTATCCACTTGTATCTGTAAGTTCAGAATCAGAATCAGGAGTTTGGAAAGATTCCAACTACTAAAGATACTTTACAACATTAAGGATAGGCTGGGCATGGTGGGACACTCTTGTAATCCCAGTACTCCGGGGTCTGAGGCAGGAAGACTGCTATGACTTCAGACCAGCCTGAACTACATAGCAAGACCCTATCTCCCTACCCTGAAATGTAATGTCTCAACAAGTTGTTCGAAGGGCACACTGAGAAACACTCACACAATACAACAACAGCAAGCATCTGCAGCATGTATCAAGACCGGGTTCTCAGTGCTCATGGTCTGTTACATTGGAGGGCTAGGACATGGGGCCATAGTGGGAGCTGGGTGGAGAAAGAGAGCTGCCCACTGGCACACAGCTAGTGACATGGGGGAGGGGAATGTGAGGCAGCCTGATCCTCTTAGAGTGAAATTATAGCCCCAGATGGGAGCTGGGGAGAGAGCTACATCCCCGGGAATACAGCAACCGTAGTCTCAGTCATGGACGGGACAGTGGAGCAGGTCTCCATTTAAATGCCAGAGGCTCTTGCTGTTTTTACCAGGATCTTTTCCTTAGTAGATTTTCATGTCTCTCCATATGCCAAACATTTTTCTGGGAACTTTAAAGTTGTTTTACAATAATCTGCATCAATTATGGTTGTTTCACTGAGTAGAGGGTGTATGGAGCTCTCCTGATGCCATTCTGGAAGTGGATTCCCCTGAATGGTAACTTTTTAAATGAAAGCTTGTTTCACAGAGAGGACACTATGATTTTCAGGAGTTTCCAGGTAAGGCTGTGACAAAGTTCACTTCTTTTACATTTCACAGAATCTCAAATGCTTCAGGAATATAGTCTGCGGCAAAAACTGCTACTGTATTTCATTTTCATTCTTTCTTGCTTTAATAAAGCTCCCAAGGTTCAGCTGCACACATGGCTACCAAACTAAAGACTTCATTGCAAGTCCTCCTTAAGGTATGTGGGATACGACACAAAATCTGACCTGACACAGTGTAAGCAGAACCTTGGGTGGAATATGATATAGACGCCAGAGCAGCCACATCTGATTAAAAGCAAAGTGTTGGAGACAGCAGAGCAACATGAGAGAAATAACCTCATTCCCTAATGCCATGGAGCTACTCTTTTAGTCCTTTGATGCCTAATCTTTCATAACAAAACAATTTCAGTCTTAAATTACTATAGCTTTCTATCTCTAATATAGCTGCTTAAGCTGTACTCTATAGTTTATAACTAACACAATGTCATTATGTTGATAAATTCAATGTGAATATTATTATAGATATCTAAGTAATTATCAATACTGTCAATTTGTCAAGTGACAAATACTGAGGTACAGTTTTTACTACACACATGGAATTCTGATTTACAGGTACATGCAGATTTGCCATTATTACTGGAGATTATTGTCTCAGACAGTTAACTGATTGGGTCAGCTTGAGTAAGAAATGCCCAACTAACTTGGATCAGCAGAGTTTTGGGTATGGCTGAAGGGGTGTACTCAAGACAAAACACCCATCCTGGGTGTGATGGGCATCAACCAATAGGCTTGCTGCTTGAATGGAATGAAAGAGAAAGAAAGAAAAGCTCCTTTCTTTCTCTTCAGAGGAGGAGCTCGCTGTCTTCAGCTTGGACATCATCTCCTGACTTCCAGCACTGTCTTTAGCCTTCCGTCACAGACCCTCTGGTGTTCTTACATGGACACATGGAACACTACAGTGAGTGCTAGGTCTTCAACTAGATCTTTCAAATCCCCGGTGGACCGCAGATCTTTTGCACTCTTCCACACCTGACTCTGTGGGTAGCCACTGTCAGCCAACCTTGTAAATTCATATATATTTGTGTATTTTGCATTGTGTTTTTTTCTAGTAAGCATTGACTGATACATTGTCTATAATGATAAATTAGATCTATAACCTTTTAAACATTTTCATATTTTCTATGGTTTTTTAGAAAATATGAAACTATAGTGATTTCATTTCAATTTTTACACCATCTAGAACTCCTGTTCTTTACAGATACAAGTTAGTACTGTCCACACTCTTCTACATTATGGCACATTAGAAGATAATATTTGTAATGTATACTGGATTAAACTGTAAGTTTATGCCTAGAGGCTTCATCAGACCAGGCCCAGCTGCTCTGATGAGTAAGGGGAAGAATTATTCCTTGAGGATCATCGTTGGGGAAATTTTATATATTTTATAGAATTCTATGTAATTAAGGTTATCTTGGGAACCAGAACAGGCTACTTTTTTTTTAATGTTCTTTCAACATGTAAAATATACAATTTTAAGCCGGGCGTGGTAGCTCACGCCTGTAATCCAGCATATGGGAGGCTGAGACAGGGGAATCGTTGCGAGTTTGAGACCAGCCTGGGCTATGAAGCGAGCTCAAGGCCAGCCTGCACTGCATAGCGAGACTCTGTCTCAAAAAGACAAAAATAAATAAATAAATAAATAAAATATACAACTTTGGACAGTTTACCAATGATTTTCTCTATAATAGCCAAATATATGCTATAGGACTAGAGCTCCTGGTACATTGATTTTATTATGGAAAGTATTAATACTCTAAATTGAAATACGTGATTATTATGTCCCTTCTATGATCACTCTATTTTTAAAAGAATCACAAGTACTTATATATCAACTATATTTTCAACTAATACGGTTTCCTTTAAAAGAAAAAAAGTAGAACTTCGAATATAGCTCAGTGGCATAAGTGCATGCCTGACAAACACAAGGTCCTGAGTTTGATTCCTGATATAAAAAATTAATTAATTAATTAAAAGAAAAAAGTGACACTATACAAAATGAATTTTTAAGAAAAGGACATTTAATTACCACTTGTTTCTTTACCTTGAGTTCATACTCAAGTAAAATAAATCGGACACATTTAAATACCACATTGTTTCCCTGGTGTCAGACACCAAAAGTGTAAATAAAGACCAAAATGTACACTAGATACTGGGAAATGGGAAGAAAAATCTTTAAATGAGAAGGGGAACAAGGCAGGAGTCAGGGGAAAGGGAAGAGAGACAGAAAAAAAAAGAGAACAAGAAAAAAAGTGGCAACAAAGCTTTTGTAAATAAGAGAGCAAGAGGGGATGAAGGGAGGAGGGGGAATGGGAAAAGAGCAGCAAGATAAAATGCATCTGATATAAGGGACAGGGCGCAGCTGAGCAGTACAGTGCAAGCACTGGACATAAATGAGTATCAGTGAATAAAATAATTAGAATTTAATATTCATCAAAATTAATGAAGGTCGTACCAGTATGATTGTAGACAACATCTGTAATACAAAGAACATTCCACTCCTTCTTCAGTTTTTCTACCAGTTGCCCAACATCATGCCAGGTGTACTTTCTATCAGGTCTTGAAAAGTCAGGATTTAATTCTAACTGATTGGCAAGGGAGTAGCATGACCTAGACAGTCCAAGAGTCTGCAGCGGGGTGAAGTGAATCATGTTGTAGCCTGCAAACCAAGAAAACAAGGATTACTGGTAAGAAAAAACGCGACTCAGCTAAAACTAAGCAAATATCAATATAAACTCTCTCAGGTAACCACAAACAGGAAGGCAATCAGGCTACCAGAAAAAGTGTCAAAGACACAGGCTCAAATTCTAGCTGCATACACTGCTTAAATCATTTAGTGTGATCAGTCGTCTCATTTACAATGCAGAAGTATTGAGGTAACATATCTGAAAAAACCTACACATAGTGCTTAGTTAGGAGTTATCAGGAGTTTAGTTTTCATTTGTTGGATTCAAGAAAATATTTCCCATGCATGCAATATATATTTTTTTCTGCTTTTAATATTCTACAGCACTTGTATTCACAGAATTTAGTTATATTAGTGAACTTTTCATTTCTTTCTTCTTGGTATGTTTAACTTGAAAGCAGAAAATGAACATTACTGTAATAGTTTACTGCGAATTTTCATATGTGAAAACAAAATTTTAGAAGTTATATCATTTTATTACAGTTCCTTCACTCACTAAAATAAACCACACAACTTGTCATATTTATAGATTAAAGGTGGTCAAGTATAAAGAACTTCACATGGCTTTATCTATATTACTAAATATATTAGGAAACAAAAGTAAAAGCACAACTTTTGAAAACTGTTAAGGATAATTACATTGATTTCTAAAAGAAAAAAGAAAAAAAGGAAGCTGACATTACCTGATTCTTTTGCAACCCTAATTCTGCTTTCCCATTCATCAAAAGGTCCTAAACACTTAGCTAAAAATGTCTGCAGAGTAACACAATCCAAGGGTAACACATGGCTATCAGCACCAACTCGTAAAATAGGATCCACGACTATGTAACCTCCACCACTCTTCTCATTTCTAAAAGAAAAAACAAAACCAAAACTTGCCAATTAGTGACAGGGAGGGAAAAACACCCTCTTCCAATAGTCTGATACTAGGAGGTAAGTGTCCCACCTAAAAATATATCTGTATATAAGCACAAAAAAAAGTTATAAACTGCAACAAAAAATAGTGGAAGCTGTTTTTACCCAGCTATTACATGATTACATAACACAGTAAGTTTAATGAAAAATAAACGTGCCAAATCCTGTCAGTAATAGCTAGGGCACTCAAGTAACACTCTATACTAATGTTGAGAGACAAGACTACATTAAAAATTTTATATAGGGCCAGGTATGGCAGTGCACACCTATAATCCCAGCAATCAGGAGGCAGAAACAGGAGAAAACCCATCAGTTCAAGGCCACCCTGCAGTACATAGTGAGATTCTGTTTCAAAGGAAAAAAATTATATAGTACTTTGACTCTAACATGGATTACACAGTATCCTCCCAGAAATTGAAGAATCATATTCTATTTGTATTTAAAGAAAGCACTTCCAAAAAATTGCACTGCCAAGTTTATTTTATTTTTTTGGCTCCAGGAATTGAACTCAGAATCTCATGTTTGCCAGGCAGGCTCTGTGCCATCAAGTTATATTCCCGGTCTGCCGTTGTTTATAGTAACTCTGGCTCATAAAATAAATTAACTTTTTTCATACATACAGAACACTTAACTTACCCTTGAAGGAAGTAATACTGAAATGATCCAGACTGCTGCAGATTAAGTTTACAGTATTTATCAGAATCATCTTCTCTTTCTGTTGGATTTTCCCAATCCAGGGAACGGAATTTATGTCGATTAAATGTTTCTCCAGGAAATGGATAATTTGTATATACAGTAACTGGTTTTCCCTGCAAAGTTGGGCCCAATCGGAACTGTAGCTCAAACCCTTAACACAAAAAAGCACATTTCAATATAATCAGTATAGAATTTATGTTTTAAAAATAGATGTCTTAAAGTGTTTCAAAATTGTAAGTTTTTTAGTCATATTTTAAAAAATTCCATTTAACTAATGATGCTTTGGAACTATATACTTTGGTTTAGCCAAATCATACGTATTTTAGCAACTATAGTAAACATCATAGAACAGTCTGCTTTAATGTGCCCTTTTACTTTCCTAGGAAACGGATTCCTATTCATATAGCTACTTTAAGATGCACAAAGTCTGACATGACCTTATGCACCTTGACTCCCTTCAACCCCTCCAAGCTCCCTACCGTCAACTCAGACCTTTTCCAGTGTTTTCCAAACTACAATGGAGAAATTGAGTGTCTCCATGGTATCAGAATATGGGACCAAAGCCAAGCATGGGATTATACTCCTGTAATCCCAGCACTGCGGAGGCTGAGGCAGGAGGATCGTTGCAAGTTCAAGACCAGCCTGGACTACAAAGTGAGCTTGGGTCAGCCTGAACTGCATAGTGAAACACTCTCTCAAAAAAAAAAAAAAAAAAAAAAAAAAAAAAAAAGAATATGGGACTGTATGTAAAACTTGAGAGGTCTCATGGGACAGTTATCCTACCATACAGGAAAAGTCATGATCAGGGACAGAAATCAACCTCAAAAGACACAGAATTCACACTTCCGACAAGAGTTCTGGAGGCATCTGACTGATGTTTGCTGAAATACAATGGTATGCTAATAAAGGTTTGACAACTGACGGGAGGTGTGAAGCACTGACTTGCAGTGTTTGCTGATGCTCTAGTGGGAACAGTCCCACTGTGGACAATCTAAAGATACCAGCACATCCCTGCATGCGGATTTGGGAAGGGATGTGCAGAATCAGTTCTTGGTAGCCAGCGCTTATACCCCTCTCATGCATTAATGCCCATATCCTTCTTCTTCATTTTTAGTTACTAACATCTTTGCCGGAATCCTGAGAACCAAGATGTTTTTCCTTTTGTCTAACTTATGTTGTTTCTATTAAAATATCTCTGAGACTTGGTGCTGTATTATACAAATGTTTTATCAAAAGTGGGAATAATGACCATATTGTAGTTAAAACTGTTCTGTAAAAGAAAAGTTTCAGTTTGCTTAAGGTAAACTTTATATCAGCTTTATAAATATTAGAATATGAAAGGTCTGACCATGGTCAGGTTTATTTGTTACAAATCGCAGGCTTGTGGCAATCCTATACAGAGCACATCTGTTGGTGTCTTTTTCCAACAAATGACACATTTGCTTCATGTCTTTATGTCACATTTTAGTAATTCCAATATTTCAACACAATTTTCATTATTGTTGCATCTGATAAACTGATCAGTGATCTTTGATGTAGTTATTATAACTATTTTGGGAGCAACATGAACTGGAACCATGTAAGAAGGAAAAACTGAATGCTAAGTGTTGTGTGTTTTGACGGCAGTACTGATGGATGATCCCCTATCCAGTTCCCTTTTTTGAGGCCTCCCTGCTCCTTGAGACATGATTATTAAGTCAGTCAGTTAATAACCCTAATCTAAGTGTTCACAGGAAAGGAAAAGTCACATATCTTTCACTTTAGATCAAAACCTAGAAATGATTCAGCCTAGTGGGAAAGGTAAATGGAAAGCTGAGATAGGATGAGAGATAGGCCTCTTGCACCAAACAGTTAACCAAGCTGTAAATGCAAGAAAAAATTCTTGAAGGAAAATCAGTAGAGCCATCCCCATGAGAAAGAAAGCAAAACAGCCTTATTGCTGATATAGTAAAACTGTCAGTGATCTGAACAGATCAAACCAGGGACAATAATTCCTTAAGATGTAGCCTAATCCAGAGCAAGGCCTTAACTCTCTTCAGTTCTAGGAAAGATGAGAGGAGGAAGCTGTAGGCTAAAGACAACAGGGTTGGCTCGCAACATTTAAGGGAAGAAGCTGTCCCCTAGAGTAAAAGTCCAAGTTGGAATAGCCAAGTACCAAAGTAAAAGCAGCAGTAAGATCACTGAGGATTCACAGCTAAAGAGGAGAAGTCAATACTTGGCTTCAAGGTGTCAGAGGACAGGCAGACTCTTGTTAAGATAACTATAAATTGAAGTCAATGCTCATTTACCATTCTGAGAATTGTAGTGTTTTTAAGAATTACACTAAAGGGCCGTGAGCAAAGCTCCAGTGGCACAAGCACCTGCCTGGCAAGCATAATGTCTTGAGTTCAATTTTAGTCCCCTACCTCTCTGCCCAAAACAAGAGTTACACAAAAGCCAGGCATGGTGGCACAAGCCTGTAATCGCAGCACTCCGGAGGCTGAAGCAGGAGGATCACCATGAGTTCCATGCCAGCCTGAGATACATAATGATTTTGAGGTCAGCCTTATACTAAATCAGCTGGTCATGGTGGCACAGCATGTGGGAAGCCAAGGTAAGAAAACTGTAAGTCAAGAAGAACTTTCTTAATAAATAAGTAAATAAATAAATAAACGATCACACCAAATTCAGAACACTCTGTAAATAGGACAGTTTAGCTTGGCAACACCACATCTGTTTACAATTTCATGTATTGACTATGTTAAGACCAGTGTTGAGACCCCAGAATAAAAGATTCGTTGAAAAAAAATTACTGGCTATGCAAGAGCTATGATAGAGATATACAAGATTAATATTTTTATGATGGTTAACACAACATCTATCCTGTGGCTCATGGGTCAAGGAGTAATTTTGACTTTCAAGTCTTTTTTTTCTTTAAAATTATTTTTTATTTTAAACAAAAAAATTAAAAATGATACAGAATTTCAAAACAATGTAACAGGAGATTACAAATGGTTAATATACTGTATATTGTTATCTTCAAAGCAGTTACTCCAATTACAAAATATAGGCATGAAAAAATGATCAAACAATGAAGGCACACACTTTCCTTTTTTATGAAGAGATTAGTAGTATAATTTTCTATGTTGTGTATCTATATAATCTTTTCCCTTCTTTCTTTTCTCCTTTCTCCCACCCCAGTTGTTCTTTCCTTTTAAGCAGTTTCTTCTCTTTTCTTTTTCACAACATTTATTGTACATTTTGGATCTTATTTACTCTTTCAGTTTTTTTACATTAGGGAGACAACGCTTCAAGGCTTTTTTAAGAACCACATTTTGGGCTGGGGATATAGTTTGGCAGCACAGTGCCTGCCTGGCAAGCATGAAGTTATGAGTTTGACTCCCAGTCAAAAAACAACAAAAAACCAAAAACTATCACATTTTGTAAGACTACAGCTGTCTCTGATAGTGATTCCTCTAATGGATCCAGAAAAAGTAAACTGAAAACTTTTTTGGAAAGAATTCATCTTTGTAGATACTATTATGAACATTAATGGCTCATGGCTGGACGTCAAAAATATCAACTTTACAAGGAGTGTGGAATCCTCATGAATAACTTTGAGGAGTTCAAGAGCAGTTTAAAAAGTAAAGCAGACATGTCAGAAATAGCAAGAGAACTAGAGTCAGAAGTGGACTCTAATGTAACTGAGCTGCTACAAGCTTATGATAAAAATTAACAAATTAGTTATTTTTTTTTAATCGGTACTGGGGATCGAACTCAAGACATGCAGGCTTGCAAGGCAGGTGGTTAGGCTGCTGAGCTAAATCCCCCGCCCCAAATGAGTTATTTTTAATGGATGAGCAAAGTAAGTGGCTTAAACATTGTTGAAATAATGAGGATTAGAATAGTATATAAACTTAGTTGATAAAGCACTAGCAAAAGGTAAGAGAACTGACTTCAATTTTGAAAGAAGTGCCACCTACAGGTGAAATAGTATCACCTGCTATAAAGAAATGTTTTCTGAAGAGTCCATTGATATGGCAAACTCCATTGTCTTATTTTAAGAAATTGTCACAGCAACCTAACCCTGGGCAACCACACCTCAATCAGTCAGCAGCCATCAATGCTGAGGTAAGACCCTCTACTTGCAGAAGGTTATGACCTGTTAAAGGCTTAGACAATCAATAAATTACTTTCTTCCGTTCCTCTCCCTCCCCTTCTTTTGCAATGCTGAGAACCGAATCCAGAGCCTTATACATGGCTAGACAAACACTCTACCACTGAGTCATACCTGAAGCCCTACTAAAATATTTCTTAATCAAGGTATTTACATTGCTTTTTTAAAGATATAGTACTATTGCACACTCTATAGACTAAAGTATAGCATAAACATAACTTTTACAAACACTGGAAAGCAACAAAATAATTAATTGCATTATTCACTTTACTGTGGTGGTTTGGAACAAACCTGTAGTATCTCTGAAGTATGCCTCCAACTGAATGACAAAACTATCCGTTTAAAATTCTATACCTGGTGAAAATATCTTTCAAAACAAAGGTTATGAAAGACAGCTTTCTCATTACCAGAGAATGATATTGTGATGGTTAATTGTGTGAACTCCAGTGAGAGAAGCTTAACTAAACTGGCTCAGCAACTCCACACTCTGGGGTATGAAAGACCCTCCCTTGGGCAGTTTGTGGTGTGGATGATACCAAGGGAAAAGAAGGACGGATCCACTTCTGCGTCTTTGGAGGAGCTCTAGTCCTCACTTCCACCCTGGACGTCATCTCCTGGTTTCCAATGCAGATTCTCTGGTCTCTCATCGCAGACCCATTGGCCTCCCGACACAAACTTGTGCGGGATATTTCAGTCAGCTCCAGACCTTTGACTGCAGTGTACAAACAGACTCTTTCACTCTTCCACATCCGACTCTGTGGGTGCCCACACTAAGTGGATCTTGTAATTTCATATTGTTATGGTTTGTTCCCCAAAGCCTCATGCAGTAATGGGGAGGAGTGAAGACTAGAGTTTACGAGATTCATGGTCCAGTGCTGGGGTTAAGGGTATGAGTACTACACCTGCCCAAGGGCAAGTGGCCTGCATACGCTATAAGAGACAGAAAGAGGTTTGTCTGTCTGTCTTTCTCCTCTCTCTTTTCTTGTTAACATGGC